CAAATGACAGGACATAGATTAATGAGGTGTGTACAAATGACAGCTTGATGGGTTTTTCAAACTTTTTCTGCATGGGACACCCTAAACTATATAGAGGTTTCATAAACCTCCCATTTGGCTATATATGAGGGGCAGAATTCTCACGCTCATAATTAATATAGAATATGCACAGCATAGAGTGCTTCAACAGCGCAATATCAGGGACTTTCACAATCAATACTGGATTGGAGCAAGTGGGGTTCATGCATCAACGCTCTTAGCTATATTACTCTCCTTAAGTAAGGACTCAGCCAGGTAGTGTAGATAATCACCAGGCCTAAGGAAAGGCTGTTTAACATCACTCACCACAAACGCCCCACTTTCAGTGTTAGGACTAAATTAAAAGGTTCTTATTCAGCCACAGAAATGGCAAGAACTATCACAACTACTACAATCGCTATTGAAGGACTTCAAAAAAATGAACGTTGTTGGAGCTTTCAAACACCTTACATCTATCAGCTTTAAATAATCATATAGGCAAGTAGCATAAGAGGCTATGAAATAAAACCAACCTCAGAGATGAACAAAAAACATGTCGACCAGGCATTGAGGATCAACCAATAATATTTACGAGATGGAGCATGAACAACCTACAAAGACCTGGAATGGAAATTTAAAAGCTCCACTCAGAGGTCTCTGGTGCATTTAGTGGCAGAAGAAATGGATAAACATTAATGTCCTGAAAACTAACAAAATGTGCATCATGTTTACCATTGAAAGGAAGCCTTCATTGAAAAAAAAATGGATCGACACCAAATCTCAAATCCCAAGGACATCTATACCGCTCACTTCAAGAGCTTGCTTGACCGGCTGGGCAACCATGACATTTATGCATGACAGCTTAAAAAATGGCCAGTATCAATGTCAGTGATTGTAAATACTGCGATGTAGGCATGTAGAAAGTTCACCAACTTATTTTAAAGTTCACCTATAGATTGTGCAAGAGAACTGCATTTCGAGGATAGGAATCTTGTGCCACACGTTAAGGACAAGGTGCACATATACAGTACAGCCACACGTTTCAAAATTTTAATTGGACTGATGACAACGACGAAGTCCAGATGTAAAAAAAAAAATGGTTCCATTATTTCATTTATAGAAAATTCGGATATCTAGGAAGAATCAAGAGATTTTGACACATTAAGACTCGAACATAAATTATATCAAACAATATGATATCCGATGAAGCATGGGGCATCGTAAAAACTCTCTCTATGACACCATTAAGCTTATATGTGGAACAGTGGCGTCGCTAGGGGGTGCGGACCGCACCGGGTGACACCATCTCAGGGGTGACACCTAATTGAAAAATTGCATAGTTACAGAGAACACACTGCTCTGTGTAACCGAATTTCATAAAAGATAACCAATTACACGTCAATTTTCCACACATGTAACCAATCCAAATACGTGCTTTATTAAAAGTTCAAGCATGGGGCATCAGAAATGAGGTGACCCTATAATTAGGTCAGAAAAAAACACCGTTTTGAATAAAAATTAACGTCACGTCGATTGAAGTGTTCGGTTACTTTCGTAAGTGACACGACGCTCTATTTTTCTACATTCTGAGACAATAAGTATTTCCATTGATACCAAATACGATGTGGTCGACAAATTCTAAGTAGGCCCTACATGAATCGACTCTGTACAAATTAAAAACTTTGTTAAAATGACTTTTTACAAATTATAAGATTAACAAAATTAAATACTATTTTACAAATTATCTAATATATGTTAATTATAATTTAAATTAAGAATTTTAAAAACATTTTTTTTAACTTAATAGACTGTATCGAAACCCAGAAATACTATAAAAAAAATAATATTTTCACCGATTCGTCACTACAACCGCACGATTGTCATGAGGATAATATGATGATTGATTATTTGTATAGCGCTAGTATCCATGCTATTTTAGCATGCTCAAAACGCTCTGATGTCATAAACTCTTTTTAATTTTTTTTTTTAAATATCTATAAATGTCACTAAAATATCATCTTTTAAATCCCTCAAAGACGGAGACAAACTGTTCCATAATTTAGGTGCTATTGATTAAAAAGAGCTCACTCTGTATGACTTCTTTTTGTGTCCATTTACACTGGGAACTCTGACTGTGAGGAAGAACGGAGGCTCTGGATACATGTTTAGAAGGGTCTTTTACATTAAGTCTGTGATTTCACGTTTATCTACTACTTTACCTTGGGCTGATCTTGAGGAAGTTAACCTTACACAGCAGTATCTGCATACTATAAAATGAGTAAAACAGAGTAGGGTTAAACCTGAAAAAAGGAACGCAACAAAACAACGAACGTGTCGACAGAAAGCCTTTGTCAGCGAACAAAACAACAGAAAAAACGTTATAAAAATAAAAATAAGAAATAGCACTTAGCTTAGAAGTAGTATCCGTAGGCAAATGTGAAAGAAATGTGAAATGTGACGAAGCTTTCTGCCTACTCTGTTTTACTCATTTTATATTGTGCTAACCTGATTGCAGTCTCTCCCCTTATTACCCAGTATCTTCAGACTAAAGGTCTTCCATCCATCCATCCCTGTGGCGCTATAGCCCATGTAGGGCTTTGTTCTGCCTCACCACTTCCTTCCACTCAGACCTAACTAATGCCTTTCTTTTCCATGCTTGGACTTTCAGCTGCTGTAGATCTTTTTCCACATCATCTATCCACCTAAGCCTAGGTCTACCTTTTAGCCTTTTTCCTCTGGGGTATTGGTGATGCACCCTTTTCGTTCCTCTGTCATTTGGCATTCTCTCTAGGTGTCCTGCCCAGCGTAGCCTACCTCTTTTTATTTCTGCCACTATCGTGAGATCCTGATATAGACTGTATAATTCATGGTTGGTTCGTATTCTCCATCCATATTATCCTTTGTTGGCCCATATATTTTCCTGAGAACTTTCCTCTCCCATGTGTTTAATAGGTTTTCTGCTGTCCTTGTTAGGGTCCAAGTTTCACTTGCATATGTTACAGGGTCCAAGTTTCACTTGCATATGTTACAACTGGTCTTATCACAGTTTTAGAAATAGTTTTCTTTGTTTCTCTTGTAATGTTTTTACTTTTGAGTATTTTCTGACTACTGAAGTATGCCCCTTTTCCGGCTGATATTCGCTCTTTAATTTCTGTTAGTAATTCGTTTCTTTCATTTAACAAAGATCATAGGTATTTGAATTGATTTACTTTTTCAAAAGTTTGGTTTCTAATTTTAATTGTTTCATCTGTTTGTTCTTCTCTTATCATGGTCATGTATTTTTTTTTTTTTTTTTTTTTTTTTTTTTTTTTTTTTTNCTTTTTCCCTAGAAGTGTAATGTCATCAGCATATGCAAGATATTGAAGGGGTTGGTTGTAGATTGTGCCCGTTGGTTGTGGGTCTTGAGTTTCCCTCAGAAAGTATCCTGTTATCGTTCCTCGAGTGTCAATGTGTATGTTTCTAATAACTCTCTCTAATGTTAGGTTAAAGAGCATACAAGACAGTGAGTCTCCCTGTCTTATGCCTCGTCTAATATGAAATTCCCTTGAATATTCTCCTTGAATCTTGATTTTGCTTTTGCAAAATCAAGCAAGCAAAAACAAAACTAAAGGCTTTTCTCTTGACAAATAAGTGTTTCCCCCCCCCCCCCCTCCCCGCCCCTTTAGAGACCTTAAGATTGTTTCTGCACGAGAAGCGCTGTCAATTAGTGAAACATGCTATTGAAAATGCACTTTTAAAAATCAGACCAATATGGAATTTTTATTTGGAGAATCCGTACAAATGTTTGGAGAATCCGTATAAACCAAGAGCTATACCAACTGCACAAAGACCCACCCATAATCGCAGCAATAACATACACACAAAAAAATAAAAAATAAAAAATCTGACTGCGCTTGGCAGAACATATTGAAATAATGCATGCTTTCTGATCTGGCTCTCCCATCAATTAAAAGTGATACTGTGAAGGATGTTGATTTTGATCAAGTTTGCAGGTTTGAAGATCAGGAAAAGATCATTTTAAATAAAGAACATTTAATGTAAAAATAACCATAAATTAACGTTGTGACAGTTCTGAAATACATTTAAATCCTTGCATGTAATTTGTTTTTATTCTTTTCATTGCTATGGTGTCGGCTTATTTTAAAGAGAAGAAATTGATGCGGAGGTCGTGGGGTGGGGTGGGGTGGGGGTGGCGATGGCACCATGAGTTGACCGCACCGGGTGACACCAACCCTAGCTACGTCAAAAAATCAAGACAATTGCATTAAAATACCACAAAATGGTGAGAAAATGAGGTGAAATAAACCTTCGGAAAAAGAAGAGACTATATGAGTGTGGGTTAAGTCACAGACAGATGAAAACTAGCAAGAAAATGGATAAAAATGCAAAGGATGCTCATAGAATATAATTTACGGAGATGTTATCCGATATGCATTAACTATGAATGAGTAGTCACCACAGGAGTTCTACAAAAGTGTCAAAACTTGCGGTTCAGCGGTGAGCTCTTCAGCTCCATCCCCATTTCATGAAAATAAAATAAGAGACGTGTGGATTAGTAGATTAGTTTAAAGAGTTGCCGAGTTACTCAAACTCAATCCTGCTGAATAGAGCAATCTGCTAAGCATCTTTAATATAAGTACACAGAACAGCTACTTAAAAACCTGTAATAAGGAAAACATAAATTTTCGCCATGCCTGTTAATGTACACACAAAATTTCCAATACTAATAGGATTCATTTAATTTGCTTTATTTTTTTGTCGGGGGGGGGGGAGGGCAGGCTTTTCCCAAGTGTATCTTTTTATTTGCATGGATCTGATTAATAAAATTACTCCCCTTTTTCATGTATCTTCATGATCTACTTGTAAGAATGAATTTAAAAGGTAAGTGACTTTTCGATCTTTTTGGACCATAACATGATTTTTTTTGCATTCAATCGCATTACACTGAAATAACTTTGTCTTTGTTTGCATTATCAAATATGGTGGATTTGTACACCACTTCCGGTTAGATGACATCTTAAATACAGTTAATTTGAAAACTTAATGTAGCAAAGGTGAGCGTTTTAGACGTAATATAACTAGATTTTTAATTCTATTTGAACGTTTTTACCGTATTCTGTAATTAAATAGATACTTAAGATGGTAATTTTGTTGCTTTAAATAAAAATCATTTCGTATCATAATAGTGACCTGTTCTCGATAGCTGGTTTTTCCCTGTCCCTGCTAATATTAATCTGATGGGGGGGAAAGTAACGAATAGTTTCCTAACTCTTGACATTTGTTTGACCTTTCAGTAGACAATTGCATCAGTTCATTCTGATATAAGAAATATACCCCATCATTCTTTATCAGTTAAAAAAAAGAGTAAACCTAAATTATTTATTTAAACTTAGTAATATTAAATTAAAAATTATTGTGATTTGTGTGAGTGCAACATGTAATCCATTGACCATTGTGTTTATTTCAATTATTAAAAATTATTTGTTGTCAATCAGCAATGTGATAATTATAATCATTGACAATGAATTAACAGTCATTTCAATTTTTAGTTGTAGTGTAGGAGTAACAGGAGTAGGACAAGGCAAAATAAGTAACTTAAACTTAAGACTTAATTAACTTGACTTAAATAAGTTAAAGTTGAAGTCAACTCAAGTCTATGGATACTATTAATATTAATGATTAATATTTAATGAATTTAATAATTTAATGTTACTTAACTGCAACTTACCTACTTTATTTTTAGTTAGTATTATTAAAAAGTAAAGGCAGTGAGGCCTATTAAATAAAAATTGGCTGTTCAGTCTGTTAGTGTTAGTTGAGCCCTATTCTATTTGATAAAAAAACTGTTCACTATTACTATTGGCTATTGAATATTGGCGTTCATTGACCAAATCAATATAACTTATTAAAATTTAAATAATCATAGACCTAATTGAGGAAATCAGTAAATTTGAGCTAATCAATTATTATCCTTTTAATATTAATTTATGAAATTGAAATTATTATTTTAGGGAGGCCTTCATGATTGACTCATTAATAATTAAATAAGAGAGGCCTACTATTATTATTATTATTATTACAACTGACATCATATTATCATATTGATGTTTTTACTTTAGGCAAATTAATATTTTTAAAATGTACTAAATCACTTTTGGCTTTTAACATTTTAGTTTTAGCCAATGCGCAATAAAAAATATTGCCTTCAAAATACTTTGGCGCATTTTAATTTTTTAACAAACTTATTAACTTATTAGTAACATAATGAATGTAAAAGCAACCATACTGAAGTATTAGCGTGGCTGTGGCTAATTTTTCTTCAAAATGAGAGAGATGATGAAACACACATGTCTTGAGCAAAAACAACCAAATGGTGCTGTTGCAGTCTTTAATAACACCAATTTTGGATTGAAATGTGAAGTTGATACCCTTAGTCTAACAAGTGCACTTGCACGTTTTGAAAATAATTTTGATGAGTTTAAAGGTAAATAAAGTACTTATTCTTTCACTTTTGTAAGGGGCAACTATCTTTCATTATGAGTATAAACCATGTCCATTTATAATAATTAAAACTTTGTGGGTTTTTTTTTTTTTTAAGTTGAAATAATTAAGCTGATCTTTTTAAAAAAAAATGCCAGCCAGTTTTATCGTTATGCAGACAAACAAACAAAAAAAAAAAATTCCAAAATGAACAAATATTTTTGTCTTAAATGCTTCATTTTAAATTGTAAGGGGCAACTATCTTTCATTATGAGTATAAACCATGTCCATTTATAATAATTAAAACTTTGTGGGTTTTTTTTTTTTTTAAGTTGAAATAATTAAGCTGATCTTTTTAAAAAAAAAATGCCAGCCAGTTTTATCGTTATGCAGACAAACAAACAAACAAAAAAAATTCCAAAATGAACATATATTTTTGTCTTAAATGCTTCATTTTAAAATACATTTGGATTTCTTTATCTTAGGCACAGATCTTGACTCTGAAATACGACTTGTACATTTCCACCCACCACCATTCAGAATGTCCACTTTTGAAGAACACATCTCTACTCCAAGGTTTCTTGGCTTTTCTCAAAAGTATTCAAATGAATTGAATGTAGTAACAATAGATCACTGCTATGCAAAACCATGGAGCTCCCATCCTGATGCTAGTAATGCACGTCCATTGCAAATGCTTTTTATGGATAAATTCCCTCGCGCAACAGAAAAACAGAGGTGAGATTACTTTTTTGCAACTACCATTTTACCTATCTTATGCAGATTATATGGGTTTTATTATTTTCCTTGATTGATGTTTTAGAACATATTTTATATTACCTACTTCCAAAGCACTAGACTGCAAGCGATTCAATAGCATCTTTTCTTATTTTTACAGCTTTTGTAATTTTTTTGAAGGTATTTTTATGTTTTCTTTGTAATCAAAGGGTGGTACATGTGTTACAGGTGCTTTGGAATATAAATCTTATCTTTTTAATGTGCATTTAAATGAAATTTTTTGGACATCAAAACAATCAACCAAAAACAAGTAAGCTAAACAGATAATGATTATCAATGATCTTGGAATTTAACTAAAATATAAAAAACTTTTTTTAAAAAGCAAATAAACGAAACAAAGAATGAGAAAACCTGAAAAAAAGGATGCAAAAAAACAACAAATGTGTCGGCAAGAAGCCTTCATCAGTGAACAAACAACAGTAATTCTGTTTTTCACTAATGAAAGAAGAAGGTCACATGTGACAACTCAAAATAATGCTTCAAACTGACAAACCCCAGTCAATTTGCGAGTAGAAAGAAAGTCTTTAAAAAAAAAAGCCAGGTTCCATTTGAACTAAAAGCCAAGACTCATTTCAAAATGCCCATGTACACTCAAGAACCTATACACCTCTCGGTTATTCTGACCTAAAAATAATTCCCCAAATGCCTTGCTACGGACCTATTTTAGGGAAAAAAAACAAACTCAAAAGACTGAAAACAATAAGTGCATTTCCATTTATTTGGATCAATATAAGCATCTTATATTATCTTAATATATTAAACATTACCTGTAGAATAGTTTTCTTCAGTCATCCATCTGTTTAGGATTGAAGCCACCTGTAGGGTAGAAGTCTACTACCTTCTTGCAGTTCAGTATACTTGAAAAATAAATTATTTAGCACTTTTCTTTCTTCGCATGTTTCAGCAAAAGTGACCTTTGTAACAAAATTAGTCACCAGCACCAGAGCCTGGTTACTGAGATGGGAACTGAACCCTTAGCTACTTAAATAAAGAGATCCAATAGTGATCTGAGACAATTTGTGAACTATTTACAGATATCCAGGGCTGGAACTGGGCAAAGCGAGGCCTAAATTATGCAATTATTTATGACACAGCCCAGCATATGAGGAAAGCTGGTGACTCACTAACCAAGGTCTAAAATCAAATTTGCAAAGCATCACCCTTGGCTCCAGCTCTCCAAAAGACACAACAATTTTCCTTTCCCTCTTTAAATCACTGCTTGGTCTATGAAATGCAATTTCAATTATGTTTTTAAAAAAAATATATTTTAGCATGTTTGAGTCGGTGAGAAACAGTTAACATCTAAAATCTCCTCTTTTAAATAGATGTATGTTCATTAAGCCTTCATTACCTCAATGATTTTGATATTTTCCTACTTAGGGTATTTTACTCTGGCTCCCAGACAACCTGCTCTATACAGTAATACTAACCGCTTCACAACACTTAATTGAATAGCAAAACTAATTTATGTTGTGTGAACTCCAGGTCACCAGACATAATAGAGGTTGCAGACTCTGAAGAAATTCCACCAATGTATGATGTTACAAAAGCAAGAGCACTGATGTCCGACTGTGAGAGGCATGCGTCACAGCTGCGGCCAGACTATGTTGATAGTAAAGAAGACTGGGAAGATCACATAGCTAATGTCAGGTTAGTGTACATTTTTGATATTTTAACAGTGTGTTTTAGACGTTTCAGCTTGATGACCTCTGATGACATGAAAAACAATAAGAATTTAAATAAAATCATGTCCACAGTGAGGATTTTGTTTTATGGAAGGTTAGGGTAATAATAATAATTGTTAGGGTGTTACTTAAGATGGTGAGGAAACCAAACAATTGGAAACAACCGGGATGGAAGAGTGTAGGTGAGCAATCAGATTTCAGTAAAGTGAAAAATTCAACAGTGAGTGGAACAGTGAGCAAGCAGATTAGATGAGATGTATAAATAAATTGAAGAATTTAAAACTTTGACAAAAATTGTCACCAGAAATAGCATTTAGTCAGGTTTGTGGAACATTGTTATAAAAATGACTAATTTAAACTCTTATGTCTGAAATAATCTTTCACCATGTTAAATGCAACCGCAACCTTGTATTCATAGACTTTGTAAAAGAAAATTAATTTTAATAGAGGTTAATGAATTGATTTAGTACTTGAGGGAATGTTGTTTTGTTTTCCAGAACATCATGGTCTGTTTTACAAAACAGAATATTTGCCAAAGTAATGAGGGTACTTCAAGCTGACCGACTGGCAAGGTTATCAATTACAGGGGTAAATTATTATTCCATGCTTATGACTTTTTTTTTTTTTTTTTTTTTTTTTTTTTTTTTTTTTTTTTTTTTTTTTTTTTTTAAAACTTTGTTCATCAATTTTGATATCCACTTGTCAATGATAAAAAACTAATACTAATAATGGTGTAGTTTTTGTTGAACCTATAAGAAACAAGAATGAAAGACCTGTAGACTCTTGCAACAGTGTTATTTGTCATCCACAGACAAAAAATGAGCCTATTCAGAGACGTCTGCAGATTGATAAAGCAGCAAAAAGAGTAAGGTTTGCATTTGCAAATATTGGATGGGTAAGTATTGCATGTACAAAATACAATTGTTTTTAATAACTGGTACTTTGTGGCATTAAGGCTGAAATAAATCAGTTTATAAATCTTATTGTAAAATAAGTGCCCCCTCAAAAGTAACCTGCAATGAAGTAGAAACTCAATTAGACCTGACAAATAATGAAATTTAGTGTATTGAAATTTACTCCGGTACAAAAATTGACTTGACTAGGTTTCATTTCATATCTGTTAAATTAAAATTCAAACCAATAAGTTTGCAAAAGAATGAAACTAGTACATAAACTGTCATAATTTTGTTTTGCATTTTGTACAGGAAATGACATTAATACTCTGGCTACATAACCTCTTCTTAGAAAATTTGCGAGGTCAGTTGTTGACATCTTATCTTGAGGTTTTGCAAACCCTTAAAGTTAAGGTAACTTTAATTTTGATTACTTATTTCATTTACATTTTAAATTAATTTTAGTAAAGACACAAATATTTAAAGTTCAACATCTTTTGTTGAACCGTATTGAGAAAATAATACATTTATTACATGTCTGATTGTATACTAACAAGAAGATTCTCCTTTGTCTTTAACCTTGTTTTAAAAGGGTAGATAGATAAATGAATATGTCCATGGTTTCTAATTCTGACCAGATACCATCCCTAGTGGAGCGTCTGATACATGGAACTACAGCCACTCAGGGGAGTTTGAGCACAGAATCCCTTGGAGGGCTATTAAAACGGACATGGGACCCTGTTCTTTCAGTTATTAATCAACAAAAACTGGTAAACTATTACCATTGACTTCTGATGTTTATTTAAAGTAATATGTGGTGTTTTAAACAAAAGATCATAATCCTAGCAGATTTTGTATAAAGTTGTGTTATATAGTAAGTGAACTTCAATTTAAAATGTTGTGAACGAATAAAACTATTGTTTTCACTTGATTATATTTATTTATTTTAAGGGAGATTACAAATTTTTCAGGCAAAGTAGATTAGAAACTCTAAATTTCTTTTGATTACAGAAGAAGCTCCCAGACAACCCACTGATGTTGGTAATATCCAGCAACTCATCATCAGGTTCAGTTGCCACAGCTATTAAGCGTCTTAAATTTTGGCAAAGCCAGCTGGCAGGGATGGGGAAGGTCATCAATGTTGTTCCTGTCAACACCAGTACAAGCATCACGATCGCTAACTATGTTGAGAACATGATAGCAACTACAAGGTCCAAGATTTTAGAAGTAATATTTTCAATCTTTTTCCTTAATAATTTCTTATGGTGTCTATATCTTTAATTTGATACTTTACACAAAAGATTATAATTTAATACCTAACACCAGGGGCTAATATGTCTATATATCTAATTACTGCTGTTTTTTATCTAATTTTATAATGTTATTTATTTAATATGCTGTTTATTTCATCTTGTACCCAAATATCAATTCCATTTGAAAATTAAAGACTGATTTTTGTGTATCTCCTAATGTAGATGAAATCTCATTTTCCTGGGCGACCTATTATTCTTATTGGCTGGCAAGTCGGAGCTCTAGTAGCCACACATGTATGTTTTTAAATTATCTTATCAAGAATGACCAGAAAAAAAAAATCAATAAATAAAACATTAAATTAATATCAGATTAAGTCACAGATATTATTTTAAAGATCTTTAAAAATTTATTGCAGGTTGCTCTGATGGAAGTAGTTCAAGCTGTTGTGTGTCTGGGATTCCCTACCATGGGAGTTTGTGGCAATCGTGGTGTACGGTTTTTTTGTTTGTTTACGTTTCGATCCCTCATTTGATATTTTCCAGCTTAAAATCCTTCTTAGGCCTAATACAAAAATAATGAAGCATTTAAAGTTTAAATACTCTTATTGAGCCTAAAAATTTCCAAAACTAAAACATTTTAACAACCCTTGTATGTTTAAGATGAATTTTTAGATGAATCATGTTTATTTAGAATATAAGCAAATGTTTATAAATATGATTTTTTTGTAAATTGTTCTTGTTGGTATAGGAGATTGATGACCAGATCTACAACTGCAGGACTCCTACACTTTTTGTGGTTGGCCAGAATGCTAGCTCATGCGTACTTGATACACTAGAAGATATCCGCGAGAGACTTAGAGTGGACACAGGCCTTGTGCTACTTGGCGGAGCAGATGATCAGCTTCGCATGTCTCGTGCTAAGAAACGAAGTTGTGGGGTCACACAGTCGATGGTGGACCGATGCATCATGGTCAGCTGTGCTTTTATTTATTTATATAATGTAATTTTATATAATGTAATTTGGATGTTGCTTGATATTTCTTTAAAGCTGTTCTACGCAAATATGGGAATTCTGTCATTTTATCCCTATATGACCAAGACACAAATGCTTAAAATAAATAGTATTAAAAAATTATTGTTTTGTCATAACCACCCCTACATGACTCATCAGTGGATTATTTATTAAAGCATCTTTAGAGACAGAAGAAAACTGCTGATTGAAAAAGTGTAACTCAAAGTGTCTAATTTTTTTTCTGTAATCCCGAAACAGGATGAGATGTTTCAGTTTTTGGGCAACATTTTATCTCAAGCTGTTGCCGCACCTGAAAACACCGTTGAAGAAACGGAAGTAAATAAGAAACAGCGTAAACGTAAACAGAAAGACATCTCTTCAGCTGCTAGCTCCCAAACCACTGAACATGTGCCCAAACAGGTAATAAATTGTTCTACAATGTAGAACAGTTAATAAATACAGTTGCTTTTGTTTTCTATCCAAGACCAAAATAGATTTTATCTCAGTAGTGAAAATTAATATTGGTAACTCCTTTTCTCTTCTTATGTTTTATTATTATCAAAATGCAAGTGATTGATGTATTTTATTTTTTTCAATTATCATAAATATGTTTTTGTACTTTCTGTGGAGGATACCAGAAATATTTTGAATTTGGATATAATGGGGTCATGGCGTGGCTCCCGAAATTTTGCATACACATGAAATTTTTTTCAAAGTTTGTGAAAAAGATTATAAAAAAATATTTAACTTCATTTTTGGGCTTTAGAAAGTACATGAATTTGAATATAATAAACCACATGTCTTACTAACATCAAGAGATAAAAGCGTCTGGTCAAAAAAAAATTATATTAAATTTTGTCTCCTTTGAGAAATAAGTCACTGTCATTTGCATGGAATTAAGGCTCATTGGGGTGTGTTTAAGTTGGAGTCTTAAGAGCAAAGGGACTCATGATCTGTGACAATATTTTAGATCTGTGTGAGGGTTTTCTATGTGTGGATGAACTGCCAGTCATGATGGCAGCATAATATACATTGTTGATTCACTGTTCATATTAATTCAGTCTGGGTAATTTCTTTCAATGTTTCTTATAATACATACCAATAAAATTATTAAAAACTATTTGATGCAAAGTAATAACCTATAAATGTATTATCTGTACATTATTTTGACTAAATCTTAATGATGCATGCCATGTAAATTTAATATTTGTCCGATGAGCAAAATAAGTTAAAAAGTGAAATATTGTTAAACCCCGAAAAATCAAGCCTCTTACAGGATCTGATTTATGAACTCCATTCATTGCAAGGTTTCGATGTGTTTGTGTCTGTGTATTTATATAATAAACAATGTTATTTTCAAATTTCCAGACTGGTGTTAAAACCATAAAGTCAATTAAAATAGCAAAAACTGGAACAGTGACATATAGTAGTCAGCTGGGCTTGACTGGTCAAGTTGGTGAGTTGTCATTATCTTTGAGACATATTTTTTAAAATCTTTACAATTCTCATTGAAGATCCTGTCTGGCCAAAAATTCAACCTCTTACAGTGAGTACATAATGGGATAAAAGATTTCACCATCTTGCTTTCCCTAATGGGATTTGTACATCAAATTGTAATTGCAGGACCACAAAGTATTTTTAAATAAGACCAGACCAGAGGTATTTTTGCTTTCTAAACTTTATCATCATTATTTTGTACTTTTCTCAAACTGGAACCCATTGGGGTAGGTAAGGATTAGGAGGGGGGGGGGTCCTTTTTTGTACTTTTTGATGAACCAATTTTGTGGGTTCAATATTACACAATGACAAATGAAACCCAGCACTTTGTTTTGTTTTTTTTAAAAATGTTTTCATATCTAGTTACTTAATAAAAGTAAAAATAACTATAAATCATTTGAGATTCTATGGGTAGTAATTTGTGTAGAATACTGTCAAGGCTAATTTATTTTGTATTTCTGGGCATTTAAACGCAAAAAATTGATGAAGACATATCTTATAAATTCTCAGTGAAGTATAACGAGTGCTCTACCAATTTAGTTTGCATTAAAAGTATAATATACTATTATATTATGTTCATTAGTAGTTTTATATTTTAATATACACTTGTTATGTTATTTATATTGCCATACTGACTAATTTATATTTCCCAATGTTGGATTTCAGCTAAACGAGCCTCTCCAAAGAAGAGATCCAATGTTAGCTCTGAGGCATCCAACACCAAACCTATGCTACATCTTAGTTTTCCAATGATAGCAGCTTCCACTGAATCGACCAAATGCCTATCAAAAGTCAGTGAAGCAGCTGCCATAGCCTCAGCCCCGGAGTTATCTAACCTGTTACAGAGCATCAAACCCACCTATCTAGACAATCAGAAACCAAGCGGACCCCCTACCCCGGTCACTCCGGTCACCAAGCCAACTACAGGTCATATCAACTCAACCATCCCATCCACCACGGCTCTCACTCTATCAAGGTTTCTGGCATCATCTGGATTTTTTCGAACCGGGACACTGATCAAGTCAGCAGAGGCTCATTCAGATGACTCCGAGGTGGGATCAAAGTCAAGCGTTGATAGCTCTCCAGAGAAGTCAGAGAATAGCTCAGAAACAAGCCTAAAACAACCCCAGATTCTTATTAGAACAGGAACGACATCGGCTCCTTTCTCAATTCCATTAACCCTCACCATGGCAAGTAAAGTCCTCAAGTCATCACCTTTGATGAAGATTACCGGCAGCAGCTCTACGTCTGCTCAGATTCAGCAGTTGTTTACATCTATCTCCAGCTCCGCCATGCCAATAGTTACCAGCACAATGACCACCTCCTCCTTGCACACAATGTCCAGTTTTTTGTCCTCTGCTCCAAATTCTTCCTCCTCCAGTGCTGCAATTGGTCTGGCCACATTGGCACGCAACTGTTCCACTTCCTCTTCAGGGGTGACCTTTTCAAGTCCTGCAGTGACAACTACAACTACTTCTCTGGGAGCTTCTGTCATTGACATCGGAGGGGACAAAGTTTCTATGAAGGAGACGCCTCCAAGCACAACGGCACCGTGCACGGTCAGCATAGACCTGGGTCAAATCACAACTCTGTCCAATACAAGCAATGTGATGAAACTCATTAGGTCCAGCTCTAAAATATCCCTTATCCCAAATGTTAAACAGTTCTCAGGACCATCTGAAAAACTTGTCCTGACCTCACCTCAGTCAGACTCTCAGCCATCCATAGCAACTTTGTCATCATTGTCTCACATCCCACAAGCTAAATCAACCAAGGATGCTTCGGCCATCACACCTTCTGTCACCACACCTTCTGTCACCACACCTTCTGTCACCACACCTTCATCTCATGTGAAGCTTCAACAGGCTCATACATCTGATGCCACTAAAACGTTTTCCGTCCCCACTGTCCTATCACCATCCAAGATATCCCAAGGATTCACCACCACCCAGCATTTATCTCCCAGCACTGGTCTCATAACTTTCAAACTGTCTGGACCTTCAGTTGGAACTAGTGCAGCAGTTAAAAGTTCAGACATTGGTAATGATGAGACAGATGGTCAGCCTAAGATCAATTCCCATTCCAAAGACCATGTCAACATCCAGTATCAACACTGCACTCTCTCACCAGGCACGAGACTCTCTAGTACAGGACCTTTGATTGGAGCTGTTACCAAGGCAGGAGTTGATCAAAACGTGTCCACAATCACCTCCAAAACTTTTTCAACAAACCCAACTTCTTTAATCATAACTCCTGGCAACAAACTTGGAACGGCTCAGATTGTTCTCCAGTGCCGCACCACTCCAGCACTACAGCAACCCATCAAAACTACCACCATTGCAACCTCTTCGCAACAGCCTGCCAAACTATCCGCACCATCAACACCCTTAATTCCAGCCAAATCCATCTGCACGTTACCAGAGTCTGTCAAGTCCAACACACCAGCCGTCACCTCGGCCGAAGAATTGACTTTACTTCGTAATGAAACAATAGGGCGGGTCACGTCCATCTCATCCAAGACACCTGTAACACAGACTGACACTTGTCAAGTGGTGTTCTCAACCCATGATAACCAAGACCCGGTGACAAAACCATCAGTTAAAACCGTGCCATCACCACCCTTGTCATTAGCTAGTCCAGCCACTGGAAGCATTTCAAAGGGAAGCAAATCAGTGTCAGCCTCCTACACTGCCACACCCAAGTCAGTTCTGTCAACTGCTGCATCTACTCGGACTCGCAGAATAAGAACCCCCAAGCAGTATGACCTGTGAAGCTCCAGAGAGGAACTGATTCTTTTCTTTGTACATCACCAGCAGTCTTTTATTTGATTAATTACATGCAAAAAGATGCAGCTGAATGTTCTGATCCATATTTTAGCATTTCTCATTGACTTGGTCATACAAGGAGTTATTCCTGTTCATTGATGTGTTGGCTCTTATTCTTATGGTTCCATTAAAAATTCATTTCTGAATTTTCTGTGCCATTTCAAGTCAAACAGTTTCACACAGTACATGAAGTATTTGTAACAAAAAATGCTGAAGTCTTACAACCCTTTCAGTACATTTTATTCATCTTTGGTTTGTAGCGCAATCAGTAGAGCAATGCATGCAAGTCATACTTGTAAATTAAACACACTAATATGGCCATAGGAAAAAAGAGAGCACTGTTGGAAAATATGGGCGTACCTTTATTAACATCCTTTTTTTTAGAAAATATAGGAGGTATTGCAGAAAACATCCCAGTCGCTTTAATCCCTTGAATTGTATTGTTATTTTCACCCCCAACCAAAAAGGAGATAGGATTGATATAAAAAACATGATTAGCACCCAGTCCTTGGCCGTAAAACGTCTCACTTGGAGCGTTAGAGGTTACATAGAGTCTCCATTGAGCCCAGCCGTAAGTTATGACAAGTGCCTGAAAAGTCTTGTTGTAGCTGACGCTGATGGAGCCAAAGATCTTATTGTAGTATGAACCCTGCCAACAAAATAGAACAATGCAAAGCTTTTACTAATAATAATATTAGAAGCAATCAACATTGGACTGATTCAAAATCCATGACAATTTTGGGTTCCAGAATCTTATAGTTATAGTGTCCCAGAATCTTATAGTTATAGCGTCCCAAAATCTTATAGTTATAGTGTCTCAGAATCTTATAGTTATAGTGTCTCAGAATCTTATAGTTATAGTGTCCCAGAATCTTATAGTTATAGTGTCCCAGAATCTTATAGTTATAGTGTCTCAGAATCTTATAGTTATAGTGTCCCAGAATCTTTTAGTTATAGTGTCTCAGATGCTTATAGTTATAGTGTCCCAGAATCTTATAGTTATAGTGTCCCAGAATCTTATAGTTATAGTGTCCCAGAATCTTATAGTTATAGTGTCCCAGAATCTTATAGTAGGCAGTTATAGTGTCTCAGAATCTTATAGTTATAGTGTCCCAGAATCTTATAGTTATAGTGTCCCAGAATCTTATAGTTATAGTGTCCCAGAATCTTATAGTTATAGTGTCTCAGAATCTTATAGTAGGCAGTTATAGTGTCTCAGAATCTTATAGTTATAGTGTCCCAGAATCTTATAGTTATAGCGTCCCAAAATCTTATAGTTATAGTGTCCCAGAATCTTATAGTTATAGTGTCCCAGAATCTTATAGTTATAGCGTCCCAAAATCTTATAGTTATAGTGTCTCAGAATCTTATAGTTATAGTGTCTCAGAATCTTATAGTTATAGTGTCCCAGAATCTTATAGTTATAGTGTCCCAGAATCTTATAGTTATAGTGTCCCAGAATCTTATAGTTATAGCGTCCCAAAATCTTATAGTTATAGTGTCTCAGAATCTTATAGTTATAGTGTCTCAGAATCTTATAGTTATAGTGTCTCAGAATCTTATAGTTATAGTGTCCCAGAATCTTATAGTTATAGTGTCCCATAATCTTATAGTTATAGTGTCTCAGAATCTTATAGTTGTAGTGTCTCAGAATCTTATAGTTATAGTGTCCCAGAATCTTATAGTTATAGTGTCCCAGAATCTTATAGTTATAGTGTCTCAGAATTTTATTGTTATAGTGTCCCAGAATCTTATAGTTATAGTGTCCCAGAATCTTATAGTTATAGTGTCCCAGAATCTTATAGTTATAGTGTCTCAGAATCTTATAGTTATAGTGTCTCAGAATCTTATAATTATAGTGTTCCAGAATCGTATAGTTATAGTGTCTCAGAATCTTATAATTATAGTGTTCCAGAATCTTATAGTTATAGTGTCTCAGAATCTTATAGTTATAGTGTCTCAGAATCTTATAATTATAGTGTTCCAGAATCCTATAGTTATAGTGTCTCAGAATCTTATAGTTATAGTGTCTCAGAATCTTATAGTTATAGTGTCTCAGAATCTTATAATTATAGTGTTCCAGAATCTTATAGTTATAGTGTCTCAGAATCTTATAGTTATAGTGTCTCAGAATCTTATAATTATAGTGTTCCAGAATCTTATAGTTATAGTGTCTCAGAATCTTATAGTTATAGTGTCTCAGAATCTTATAGTTATAGTGTCTCAGAATCTTATAGTTATAGTGTCTCAGAATCTTATAGTTATAGTGTCCCAGAATCTTATAGTTATAGTGTCTCAGAATCTTATAGTTATAGTGTCTCAGAATCTTATAATTATAGTGTTCCAGAATCGTATAGTTATAGTGTCTCAGAATCTTATAATTATAGTGTTCCAGAATCTTATAGTTATAGTGTCTCAGAATCTTATAGTTATAGTGTCTCAGAATCTTATAATTATAGTGTTCCAGAATCCTATAGTTATAGTGTCTCAGAATCTTATAATTATAGTGTTCCAGAATCTTATAGTTATAGTGTCTCAGAATCTTATAATTATAGTGTTCCAGAATCTTATAGTTATTTTATTGAAATAAAAATTAATTTTTATTACAGCAGCATGAATCTTAAATCACATTATTGACATGATTGTGTCACATTTGTTGCATGTCCATCTCTTGCAAGACACCTGTTAACACAGACCAACACTTGTCAAATGATGTTATACGTTACATTGCAAATCCCATCTACATGCATAGGAGCCAAAATGATCAATAAATTGATCGTGGGCCCTTAAGATATAGAAGAAGAAGAAGATATGTTCTTTCCTTCCTCATCTCTTTTTGGGCACTTTCATTACAATGAGCTTCAACCCAGTCAGTACATTATAAAAATGAACATTTAAAGGACGCTGACACTTTTCATTTATCTTATGCAGACAGGTTCAGGTTGTTCACATAACATTTCAGTTGATAATCTAGTCTTAGTATAGTCAAACTAAATCAAGTAGGGCAGAGAATTTGTTGATTTATGAGATCTTATTTGTTTTAACTCAATTATTTCTGGCTTTCTAAACATTATGCCTTCACAAGGAATCTCAATTGAAATTTCGCTCTGAGAAAGTATTGTCGTTAATAATTATGAATATCTGTTCATTTCCTACGCCTTAAGCTTGTTCATCTGAATCTTCTTAGAAGTATTAGCCGACACAGTTTGTACAGCCTAAATGTAGGAACTTATTATTCATCACGCCATGCGTAAGACACGTTTAGAATACTTGTTACTAAATGTTACTGTCTCTATTTAGTTTGGTAGCACTTGTTATGTATTTTTTTTATCAATTAAAAGATATCTTTTGGTGAGACTACTTGGCATTGCATTGCATTAATTGTTTTGCTAATTTCAGAGTTATAATAAAATTTCTTAATGCATTAAGAAATTCTTAAGTTCTATACCATAATATTAAGGCGACCATTCGTATTGTTTTTACCTGAACACTACTGTTTTTTTGTTTTTTACATTTTTTTTTTACCTTTGTCCTGGCTAGTTGTGAGTTGTTATGATTAAAAAAAATGATTAATTTAACACAAGATTGAGTGCAAATAAACTGATATCCAGTCATATATTAATCAAGTAACTGAAAGAATATGTCACTTGTAAATTATCCAAACTAACTTCAAAATAACGTTTTTTTCTTTCTTTGTTTCTTTGTTTTTTTTGTAAAGGCTTGTTAGACATACGAGTCCTCTTGTGTAGCAATAATAATTGTATTTTCACCCATCTCCTCAAAACGATTTTTAAAAAATTAAATGCCCTGGTTTTTCAATTGGAAAAAAAAACCGACTCACCTTAGATAATCTAGATCAAGTATTTAAATCGTTGCGGCCATGTGACTTTATGGTAGAATGTCTGACTCTGCTTTAGGCCTATATGAGTCAGACATCACACACCCAAGGCAAGGTGACAAGGCTGGGCGTGTGACGCTATTCGGAGCAACCAGCCTCTCAAACACCTCAGAAAGGCTCACCAGAAAGTCTAACGTCAAAACTCACTGCCATTCACTGGTCCTCTCCTGACTAACCCATGCCATGTCACTGCCCTTCACTGGTCCTCTCCTGACTAACCCATGCCATGTCACTGCCATTCACTGGTCCTCTCCTGACTAACCCATGCCATGTCACTGCCATTCACTGGTCCTCTCCTGACTAACCCATGCCATGTCACTGCCATTCACTGGTCCTTCCCTGACTAACACAAGCCATGTGTTTGGTGCTGTACGATGGCGGGCAACAGTGAGCTAACTCTGGTACTAGTACTTGGAGGGCAACGGTTTCACAACCGGGCCAATTTGTACAAGTGGCCCCCGGACACGTGGGGGGTTTCACGAGCCAGGCTAATCCGCGTCCATTGCTTATCAATGGGGGGGGTCCCTGATCCTGGTTTTGACTTTAACGGTTACGAATACGTCGGACCGGGGTCTTGGACGCTGCTCTTCGTGAGCGGTCGTGCAAGAGCGTCCTGCTCAGTCACACTTCAGCAGATATTAATGTCGGTGCCAGCAGCTAAGCGACCCAGTCGGGGGATTTGGTCGTGGTGCTGTGGTCTGGTGAACTGGCCGTCAGTTGACGGTGTCGGATCATCGGGCTTGGAGTGGGTCCCTGCTCAAGTGGAACTGGGATGACCCCGATCAGACGAGGCCCACCCGGTAGCCCCAGCGGGATTCCACGCCTCCGTAGGTTGTGGATAACGGGTTGGCCGACATCCGGGGTCGTCACCCCCCGGACATCGGTTACGCGCGTCAATAACGTCTAACCCGGTGTGGTCAGACCGAATAAGCGCGGGCGGACAGAATGGGGTCGAGTGTGGGGGGGGGGGCACCCCCCGCCCTCGAAAGCAAAAATTATGGATATGATGATTCCAACAGTGCCATGTTGTAAGAAGTGACAAGGTGGCCAGGCACTGTTTGGAGCGACGAAGTCACCGGAGTGGGGCACGATACGGCTTGCCGTACCCCACGTAGATGGTGAGCAGTGGTGGAAAAGAGGTTTTGTCTTTGGCAAAGATTGAGACAATCGTTCATTGGCTAAAGTCTAGATCCTGCGGGATCCTGGCGCCGCGGGGAGGGGGGGGGTGACCGCGGGCGTCTCGGGGTCGTTGCCCCCTGTTCCTGGCCGGTGGTGTGGGGCCTGGGTCGTGTCCCGGTGTTCCGTGCCCCATTGCGCTGGCTTGTGCCTGCGCTCAGGACACTAGCGTCCGGTCGCTAACGGAGAGAGTCAAAGTCCCACGGAGGGTAAAGGCTGGTTTTGTGGCGCATGCCCCGCTGTTTCCGACAGTTTTGATTGCGGCAGCTGTAAACTTGGATAGACAATGTTCGGAGTCTTGGGATTGCCCGACGGCGGGAAGATCTTGCTCGTAATAGTCTTCTGCCCAGCCTGGTCGGTTTCACAACCGGGCCAATTTGAACACACGCCGCCCCCCCCCCCGGGTGGGGGGGGGGTTCCCGTTAGCCGGTATCACCGCGGCCCCTGTCTTTGGGTGGGGGGGGGGGGGGGTCCTTGATCCTGGTTTTGACTTTAACGGTTACGAATACGTCAGACCGGTGTCTTGGACGCTGCTCTTCGTGAGCGGCCGGTCAAGAGCGTCATGCTCAGTACCGCTTCAGCAGATATTTATGTCGGTACTAGTATCAGCGAGAATTCTAATTCTAAGTACAGAAGATTGACTGGCCTCTACGAATTATCCTTTCAGTAAGCATCCAACATTAAAGCCAATACACATTTAAGATTCCAATTTTATCATTAGGCCTAATTGTTAGCGACCCACATGTTTGTTTATAGCTCATTACATCCCGCTGCACTCTGAGAGTTAAATAAAATGCATTTTAGTGCATTTCTAATATCAAGTCAAAGTTTATGTTTATAAATATGTAACACATTAAAAGAAATAAAAGTAAACCAATTTGAAATTGTGATAATTACCGAACACAGAACATCAGTAATTTAATAACAGTTGAGAGTAATAACTTGATCCCAAAGGGTTCAGTGAGCAACAACTCGATCCTATAGGCCACTATAGGGTACCGGTACAGTTAAGAATATCCAAGGGGAGGATGTCCCAGCCTGGACTGCTAATTAGGCAGTATCTACTTTCGCACACAGGTACCGAGAGTCACCAGTCATCACTTGACCCGATGTCTCTATACCGGACAGAGGCGTCAATAGAGTTGGTGTCACCCGATGTCTCTATACTGGACAGAGGCGTCAATAGAGTTTGTTTCACCCGATGTCTCTATACCGGACAGAGGTGTCAATAGAGTTGGTGTCACCCGATGTTCCTATACCGCACAGAGGTGTCAATAGAGTTGGTGTCAACCGATGTCTCTATACCGGACAGAGGTGTCAATAGAGTTGATGTCACCCGATGTCTCTATACCGGACAGAGGTGTCAATAGAGTTGGTGTCACCCGATGTCTCTATACCGGACAGAGGTGTCAATAGAGTTGGTGTCACCCGATGTCTCTATACCGGACAGAGGCGTCAATAGAGTTGGTGTCACCCGATGTCTCTATACCGGACAGAGGTGTCAATAGAGTTGGTGTCACCCGATGTCTTCATACCGGACAGAGGCGTCAGTAGAGTTGGTGTCACCCGATGTCTCTATACCGGACAGAGGCGTTAGTAGAGTTGGTGTCACCCGATGTCTCTATACCGGACAGAGGTGTCAATAGAGTTGGTGTCACCCGATGTCTCTATACCGGACAGAGGTGTCAGTAGAGTTGGTGTCATCCGATGTCTCTATACCGGACAGAGGCGTCAATAGAGTTGGTGTCACCCGATGTCTTCATACCGGACAGAGGCGTCAGTAGAGTTGGTGTCACCCGATGTCTCTATACCGGACAGAGGCGTTAGTAGAGTTGGTGTCACCCGATGTCTCTATACCGGACAGAGCTGTCAGTAGAGTTGGTGTCACCCGATGTCTCCATACAAGACAGAGGTGTCAATAGAGTTTGTGTCACACAATGTCTCTATACCAGACAGAGGTGTCAATAGAGTTGGTGTCACCCGATGTCTCTATACCGGACAGAGGTGTCAATAGAGTTGGTGTCACCCGATGTCTCTATACCGGGCAGAGGTGTCAATTTAATTGGTGTCATCCGATGTCTCTATCCCGGACAGAGGTGTCAATATAGTTGGTGTCACCCGATGTCTCTATACTGGACAGTGGCGTCAATAGAGTTGGTGTCATCCGATGTCTCTATCCCGGACAGAGGTGTCAATAGAGTTGGTGTCACCCGATGTCTTTATACAAGACAGAGGTGTCAATAGAGTTGGTTTCATCAGAAGTCTCTATCCCGGACAGAGGTGTCAATAGAGTTGGTGTCAACCGATGTCTCTATCCCGGACAGAGGTGTCAATAGAGTTGGTGTCACCCGATGTCTCTATACAAGAGAGAGGTGTCAATAGAGTTGGTGTCACCCGATGTCTCGATACAAGACAGAGGTGTCAATAGAGTTGGTGTCCACCGATGTCTCTATCCCGGACAGAGGTGTCAATAGAGTTGGTGTCACCCGATGTCTCTATACAAGAGAGAGGTGTCAATAGAGTTGTTGTCACCCGATGTCTCGATACAAGACAGAGGTGTCAATAGAGTTGGTGTCACCCGATGTCTCTATACCGGACAGAGGTTTCAATAGAGTTGGTGTCATCCTTGTCTCTATACCGGACAGAGGCGTCAATAGAGTTGGTGTCACCCGATGTCTCTATACCGGACAGAGGTGTCAGTAGAGTTGGTGTCATCCGATGTCTCTATACCGGACAGAGGCGTCAATAGAGTTGGTGTCACCCGATGTCTTCATACCGGACAGAGGCGTCAGTAGAGTTGGTGTCACCCGATGTCTCTATACCGGACAGAGGTGTCAATAGAGTTGGTGTCACCCGATGTCTTTTTACCGGACAGTGATGTCAATAGAGTTGGTGTCACCCGATGTCTCTATACCGGACAGAGGTGTCAGTAGAGTTGGTGTCACCCGATGTCTCTATACCGGACAGAGGCGTCAGTAGAGTTGGTGTCACCCGATGTCTCTATTCCGGACAGAGGCGTCAGTAGAGTTGGTGTCACCCGATGTCTCCATACAGACAAAGGTGTCAATAGAGTTGGTGTCACCCGATGTCTCTATACCGGACAGAGGCGTCAGTAGAGTTGGTGTCACCCGATGTTTCTATACCGGACAGAGGTGTCAATTGAGTTGGTGTCACCCGATGTCTCTATCCCGGACAGAGGTGTCAATAGAGTTGGTGTCACCCGATGTCTCCATACAGACAGAGATGTCAGTAGAGTTGGTGTCACCCAATGTCTCTATACCGGACAGAGGTGTCAATAGAGTTGGTGTCACCCGATGTCTCTATACCGGACAGAGGTGTCAATAGAGTTGGTGTCACCCGATGTCTCTATACCGGACAGAGGTGTCAATAGAGTTGGTGTCACCCGATGTCTCTATACCGGTCAGAGGTGTCAATAGAGTTGGTGTCACCCGATGAGGTAAATTAATGGTCGTCACCTCCAACCTTTTTTTTTTTTAAATGCCACCTTACCCAAAAAACAAAACAAAAATTATCTACATTGTGTTATTGCTAAAGTGATCTTACAGAATAACGTATTGTATTAATTATACATCAAGGGCAAACTATGACGTTAGAAGAAAACATGTGAGGTAGCTGCGTTTAAAAGATACATCAACATTATTTTTTATTGGAACATTAATCTGAAAATGGTGCTGGGTTACCGAGTGGTCCATCCCATGGTGCTGGGTTACCGAGTGGTCCATCCCAAGCCTGTGGTCAAGAGTTCAATCCCCAACAAGACCCAGTCATGCAAAACATCACCATCACCCGGGATGGGTGGAACTCATTCACCTTGGGTTACAACTCATCTAAGAGAGGGAAGCTGTGAATTGAAACCCGGAGATGGAGCCCCGTAGGCTGTATGTCATTGAAACAATGGATATTCCAGCAACTCCTACGACGTTACTGGTGCCGAGTTGTATCATCCACATATGATGTTCCCTTGGGTTATCCAGGTGCGTGGAGAGAAGCGATTCCCTGTCCAGAAAACCAGCTTATACTCCTAAAAAAAATTCCCTGGCCTTGTGATTTTCGTCCTGCAAAGTCTACACTAATGTCACATTGTCACGGACGGATTCTGGGAAATATTTTTTAACCATTTAAACTTTACAGTCCCGGTTTTCAAAGACCTGAACCGGGTGCCAACCCGGGGGAGGGGAAGTCAGTTAAGATATGAGTTTTTAATGAATACATCAGTAGCTCCTAGCAACATACCTCATACTGCTTAATGTCATACTTTAATTTGACATCAGGATTGAGTGTTCGATTGGATCGCGCAGAACGATTCTCCCAAGGTTCAGGGTATGTACAGAGGGTTGAACTGTTGAGCCACGATTGCACACCCAGGGCTCTATCCATCAGGTACATGTGGAGTGGATGACGGTAAACGTATGCGTCATCCTTTCCAGTCATCACAATGAAAACACCAATTTTTGGCTCTGGCAGGAGTGCCATGTAGGCTCTGTAACCCATTGTAGAACCGGTGTGAACTAATCGGTTATAACCTGTGGGAGATATTAGCGAATCATATGTTCATAGCATTTTGATTCTCAAACGATTCCCTCCTGCCACCCAGGGCTCCTTGCAAATCAGGGCCTTCTGTCACCAAGGGCCTCCTGCCACCCAGAGTTTCCTGCCACCCAGCGCTTCCTGCCACCCAGAGTTTCCTGCCACCCAGGGCTTCCTGCTACCCAGGGCTTCCTGTCACCCAGGGCCTCCTGCCACTCAGGGCTTTCTGCCAAATATAGCCTTCAGCCACCCAAGGCTTTCTGCCAACTATAGCCTTCTGCCAGCCAGGGCTTTCTGCCAACTATATCCTTCTGCCACCCAGGGCTTTCTGTCAACTATAGCCTTCTTCAATCCTGGGCTTTCTGCCAACTATAGCCTCCTGCCACCCAGGGCTTTCTGCCAACTATATCCTTCTGCCAGCCACGGCTTTCTGTCAACTATAGCCTTTCCTGCCAGCCAGGGCTTTCTGCCACCCATAGCCTCCTGCCACCCAGGGCTTCCTGCCACCTATAGCCTCCTGCCACCCAGGGCTTTCTGCCAACTATAGCCTCCTGCCACCCAGGGCTTTCTGCCAACTATATCCTTCTGCCAGCCAGGGCTTTCTGTCAACTATAGCCTTCTTCAATCATGGGCTTTCTGCCAACTATAGCCTTCTGCCACCCAGGGCTTTCTGTCAACTAAAGCCTCCTGCCACCCAGGTTTTCCTGCCACCCAAGGCCCGTAAACCCGCCCTGGCGCTATTGGACGAGTGGGGTTATATCCCATTTTAAGCATTTTAAGAATACAAGTGTGCACGACCCTCTTTGGAATTTATTACACAATGAAATCTAAAATTAAAACAAATAACTAAAATACAAATGAAACAATATTTCAATAATAAGCTGATTATTCTTTTTTCAATCGGTACCTTATTAGGATCCTTATCTATTAAGAGTTTATATACGTTTATATTTAATGTCATCATTGGAAATTTTTCCTTCAGGCTTCTCTTCGAGGTAGGAGGTAAACAAAAATAAGGGGGGGGGGGTGTACAAATGTAGTAAAATTGGTTTGAAAGAAACCAAAACTACTTCAATGAAAGTTATTTTATTACAGTGGAACCTCGGGAAACGAACGCCCCAGTTAACGAACAAATCGATTTACGCCCAAGTTTTGTGCGCAATTTTTGTCTCGGTTAACGAAAGATACTTATATGCCTGTACATATAATCCCAACCGGCTCAATAGTGCTTAGGTGCGTTTGCAGTAGCATCGTTGGTGCTGTGTTAAATAAACACTGCTGTTTGTTTATTGTGTGCACCTTTTTGGGGTTATTTAGTCCTCATTATGGCGCCGAAAGAGAAACACTTGTTATCAACAGGAACCGTGTTAGCATGGAAGTAAAGAAAGAAAATATACTATAACTTGATAATGTCAGTTCTGTTATAGTTATATTATTTTAGTGTAATATCTCCATATTTAAGGATTATAAAATTTCATTTTATATTACTTTTGTTACAGAAAAACAAATACCATATTTCTAAAGAATGCAACAGATTTAATTAACCGAGATCGAGTTCAATGGCGAAGATTGTTTCGCTTAGCAACGCCTTCACCGTTTTGGGTCAACATCGAGTCCTGGATTAAGTTCTTTATCCGAAGTCCCTATTTATTTTAATATTATAGGATATTTTGTAAATTATAGAAATAAATTTCAAGTCCAAAGTTTTAAATACTTTTGTAGGAGGTGCAATACTTAATATTTTTAAAATGTAAAGAATGCCAATTGAGTCAAATAACTCATGGGGGTTGCAAGTCTAATCATATAATTCGTAGGTGTGCAGCATTTAGAAAAGTTTGGGAAACACTGCACTCCATGGATCGCAACTAAATTGGGTAGGTTCAGACCTCTTGTCCCTAAGATGTTTCCTGGAAATTTAGGTCAAAATAACTGTACCACATAGCTGTCATTTAGAAAATATTTCAATTTAGAGTTTCATGCACTTCAATACAATTTTTTTTGTAAATTGCTTGGCTTAGCGAAAAAAAAATCACTTGGTGGACGGCAGTTTTGGTGATCGCATTTTAGTTATCATATTATTTTTTTTGGTGGGTGGGGGGAGGAGGGTTAATCAAGGGAATTATCATATGGACATTTGATTATCTTGAAGGACTCAACCTTTTTGGAAATTACCAACTGGTGGCCTTGGAATTTCATTAAATTCACAAACATTGTAAGTAGTTCATACTCCTACATTTTTTTAATACACTCGTGGAATTTCCCAGGTCTACAACACAAAGTAATAAAATCGTCTTTGGATTTAGAACATAAAGCTTTATGATGACATCATCTAAAATACCTCTATAGAATCCTCTTCTAATTCCAAATGCATAAATCTCATCGGTGCTTGTAACAGGATATTTTGAAAGTCTCGTTTCCTTTCCTGTCTCTGGTCCAACAAAGAATCTGCCCTTGTAAATCTCTGCAATCTGTTTAGCCTTGACTACTTCGTTTCCTTGTGCGTCTTTGCCATCAAACAAGTGAAAGTTCATCCATCTGGCCATATCATCGGCGCTCGACATAACTGAGCCAGAACCCGATAACTGAGCCCACCTCCTGGGTTTTAATGACATTAAGAGCAAATTATCAAAATTGATCAATGAATTCTGAAGAGAACAAATCTTCCTATAAAAATAAAGAAGCTTAACACTGTTCGTTAGATTGATGCATACCTTTCAGTAGCCACAAAATATTCAGAAATTGAGAACAGACCTGGAAAATTCAGGATTGACTCGCTCTAACTTTCCCAAAACATCAGCATATGGGACCACCATATCTTTTTGTTCAAAGTTTGCCACTGAAGCAAAAGTCGAGCTCTTCATACCCAGCGGCTGATAAAGGTGTTCATCGACAAGTTTTTCCCAAGCCTTGCCACCGATGACCTCTGTGATGTAGCTGACCAATCCGTACATGATGTTGCTGTAATAGTACTTGACCCGGAACTGCTGGTTGGTTTGCAAGAGTCCAAGGCGTCTAAGGAATTGATGGGGCGGATATAGTTAGAGAATTCATGTGCATGAAACTGGTCACAATGGTAACAGTGTTTGTAACTCATTGCTCAGTTGCTACGCCCCCACCTCAATCAATGCACTATATCCACACACCACTGATTCTCCACACACCACTGATTCTCCACACACCACTGATTCTCCACACACCACTCATTCTCCACACACCACCCACTGCTTAATATCTACCCGCAATTCATTAATCCGGCTTTCACTTAGTGCACAATCTTCACTCACAAATCATTTCCTATTCTAAGCCCACCTATCATTGGTAGTTTTATTAACTAATGTGTAGTCACATATTTCCACCCACAAGTCACTAGCAAAGCCTTTGTTCACTCACGCCTAATGAGACAATGGCCAATGATTCGAATTGGTGGGGTACATTAACTAAATCCCCCCCCCCCCCCTTGACGTCATTGACTTGGAACTTGACAAAATGAATCACATTCTCTTTTTTTTTTTTTTTTTAAATTAAGGTTTTTATATCTGTAAGGTGAAATGATTCCTCTGATACCACAGTCCAGCTTGTTTATACCTTCAAAAAATATTTAACTGCGCATCCTACGTTTACAACAAACTTACTCTAAAAGAGTGTCTCTTGTAAATTTCGGGTCAAATCTCAGACTGTTGTAGTCTGGTATGCCGACTTTATGAGCCAATAAGTCTGTGAATGTTGTCTCTGCCGTACGGAGAGGGTCAGACATGTTGAACGACTTCCCAAGAAGCAGTCTCACAGGGGAATCCACCGTGAGGCTGGGCCAGAAATTAAAAAAAAAAAAAATTTGTTTATATACACATTTTAATTAAAATAGAATACACTTAAGAAGGCTAGAAACATTTCTTGACATTGTAACTGAATAACTGTAAAACAGCGCAAAGGAATCGATAAAGTAACTTTTAAAACACGCTAATGTACGCAATGACCCATAATGATCCGAAGTCATATCCGTCATTGACATAGTTTACGTAACGATAGTGGATTTAACAAATTTACATTGTCTACAAAGGCGTACGTAGCAAGGGACTGAAAAATAGCATACGAAAAGTATATGAAAAATATCTTGAAAAAAAAAAGTCTAGTTGTTTACGTTATTATCTTCCATACGTAAATATAAAAGTGAATATTATATCACTTATCTATAGTAACTAATTGTTTGGGGTATAAAGCAATGATGAATGAACAAGGGGGGTATGGGGTATGAAATAGTTACTAATCACAAACACACGTCTGTACATGTACTGGTGTAGAACACTGCACACCCCAGATGAACTCACTTTGTTTTCTCATAAAGCATTTTGATAAGCAGCGTGGCAGAAAATAATTTTGTGAGAGAGGCTACCCCGAATACAGATGTGCTTTCGACCTTCTTGGGGTTGTCCAAACCAAATGTTCCAAACCCTCTAGACATCAGAATCTTGAAATTTAAAAAAAAAAAAAACGCTATACGGAATATGATATTATATTAAATATTTGAGCAATTAGCAAAATATAAAATGTCAATACATTTGAACATGTATAGTTTCATGAACACATTGAAAATTTTCTTATCAAACTTACATGTAACAACTTTTTTTCTTTTTGTATTGTTCAACCAGACCCATGTTTATCTATAATCATACAGTCCATGATCTTACAGAGGGGCTAAAAACACATTTATGATTAAGTCAAAGGCAAAAAAAAATTTAAAAAATTAAAATTTAAGCGACATATGGGATTGATAAAAATAAGTTCAATGTTTTTTCAATTAAGAAAAATGACTCAACAAATGCTGTTTTGTTGCGTCCCTTTATTTCCCATACTTTGTTTGGCCTTTTTACATTATTCTAGCCTGATTGCAGTCTCTCTCCCCCCCCCCCTGGGCGCCCGCAGAAAACTTTCTTGGGGGGGGGGGCAAAAAAAATCGATTAACTTTCCAGGGGGGGGGGCCCAATTTTTTTATTAATGTTTTATGGTAGTTTTTTTGGCCTTTTTACATTATTCTAGCCTGATTGCAGTCTCTCTCCCCCCCCCCCTGGGCGCCCGCAGAAAACTTTCTTGGGGGGGGGGGCAAAAAAAATCGATTAACTTTCCAGGGGGGGGGGCACAATTTTTTTAGTAATGTTTTAATGTAGTTTTAATTTACTGTAGCGTATTTGTATGGTGAACGAACGGACAGGACATCAGCTTAGTTACGTTCTCTTTATTTTCTATTTACTTTAATATATTTTGTGTCTATTTTTGTCTAAAATTGTTCGATCCAATCAATCCAGGGGGTGGGGCAAGTGCCCCCCGTTGCCCTCCCCTGCGGGCGCCCATGTCTCCCCCTTATTTTAAGAGTCTCCTTGCTCAGACTATGCAGAGAGTAGATCTAACCTGTTTCTTCCGCAACCGTAAGTAATTTAGAAAGAAGAAGTATGATAAATGTTTGTCAGAAAGAATTGTGCAGTTTTTCAGATGCATTTTGACCGACGGAAAAAGCAAACAGCTCCACATTTCCTTAATCTTAGATTTGGAGTTTCTTTCATTGTTTGGTCAGGTCCTAAATGAACAACTTTCGTGATGGTTGGGTTGCGAAATACTTTGCCCCAATGCTTTTTTTTTGACAATAATGATTTGAACAAAATAAATTAATACGGAGTTTTGAATAGTTTCATGATTCCTTTTCTCCATAAGTACTTGTCATTGAAACCATGTACACAATGCCGGACTTCCCATACGTCCAACCTACATCATGGCTTAGGGCGCATCACTCAGGGGGCGTATTTACAAAAGAAATAACAAAAAAATATTGACAAATTGTTAAGTATTATTTTGAAAAGGCCATTTATAAAGTGCTGTAGTAGGGAAGATTTTAATTAAAAAGGCGACGTGTTTCACAGACGCTAAAGATTGTATAAAGTGAATATGTCTTCACAATAAACTATTAATATTTTAAATTATGAATAAACTTTTTGAGTTTGGGGGGAAAGGGGGGGGGGGTCGACGCACAAAATTATGAGGAAGGTCTAGGGCGCAGAAATGTGTAAATCCGGCGTGACAAATCCGCCCTATTATTTTAGAAAGCTTGAATAAACTTTTTGAGTTTGGGGGGAAAGGGGGGGGGGGGTCGACGCACAAAATTATGCGTAAGGTCTAGGGCGCAGAAATGTGTAAATCCGGCGTGACAAATACGCCCTATTATTTTAGAAAGCCGAATACGGGCTACGGCAGCCAATACATAGTGTAATAAGATACGAATGACACAAAAGTAATTACTAATAGACGCATAATTACTTTGAAAGAATGACCAACAGAAAATGGTTTAATTCTGCAGCCATTTTCTAGAGGCCTTCGGAGTATTCGCTGTAGAACGTGACAGGTACAAGTCGACTGCCAAATAGAGCGACAATAAGATTAACTAAATTTACGATAAGACAATGAATGACTTACTTTCCCATCTTTCACGACCGACACGGCTAGCGCCGGGTTCTCGTGACACTCCATTGTGGTCTCAATAACTTTACCGATTTCGTCAGCATCGAACGCCGCAGTGTTACTGCTTTCATCCGTGTTAGATTCCGGAGGACCAACGATTTGCGAGACGACGATGATGGGGATGAATACGCCCAGCAATAACGCAGAAAGCAACCACTTTGGCCGAAACATGGTTCAACGGGCCCGGCTCACTTCGACTCCTGATTGAAACTTGAAAAGTTACTGAGACCACACGGATGGCAAGCCCAGCTAAAACAATTTAAAAGCGACGTGCCATGTCAAGGTACTAACCACCCATATTTTCCTTGTAATTCCCATTGCAGAGAACACAATTATTAGTGACGTTTTAATTATTTCTATGACGTAATATGGTTTCATGAATCGATATTTTTGTTTGGGTCTTAAATTTTTCGGAATATCTCTGGGAATACCGGTATCCAGAAATTTTAATTACTGAAGCAAAAGATCAATTGTCACGTGGCTGACACTCTCTCACCCCTCCCCCCAACTTTTTAATTTTATTTTTTCCCCCCCCCCCCCCCAAAAAAAAAATAAAATAAAATAATAATAATAATTTTAAAATTGTATTGATTGCGTACACACACGTTTCACCAGAGAGACTATTTTGTATATCAAAATTTTATAAAACATATTATTGTGGTATTTAAAATATGCTATATGCTATAGGAGTCCTGTAGGCGTATACATTAATACAATGAAGCATTCCAACTCCTGCGACGCCTCTGTTGCCAAGCTGTATCATCCACATGTGGTGTTCCCTTGGGTTATCCGGGTGTGTGGAGAGAGGTGATTTGCTGTCTAGGATCCAAGGCCTTGCAATATCGTTCTGCAAAGTCTCCACCATCGTCATATTGTGTCGGACGGATGCCGTTAAAAAAAAAATTGCTAGTCTATAATTTGGTTTGAGAAAAGCATTCAAATATTCGGATATCTGGATGACAGAACGCTAAGGTGCTAAGATTTAGTAATGCTGTTATGAACCAAAAAAATGGCGGGGAGGTGGTTGGGGTAAATCTTTCAAAATGAAATGAATATTTTGTTTTAAAATTTTGTAAACAGTGCAGTAGAATTTCAAATCGGAAACTATTACAAAAAAAAAATGTCTCTATAAACTCCGTGAAAATAGAGTGTTTCAAAACAATGCAAAGGACCTAAGCCTTCGTGCACCACGGCGGTTTACCTAGCAGAACAATGGACCTAGGACTACGTACACCGCGACAAACAAACAACAAAAAAAAAAGAACATTTGCTTGGTCTTGAGATGTGGTAATGATGTAAATATGATCTTGTGTTGTCTTGTAACCGCTAGACGATATCGTGCGTGGTAATCAATTCCCAGAAGTAGATTGAGTTTTAATAGGCCTAAATCTTCTCTTTTTTTCATCTTAATTAAAAACACATATTTTACCGCTAAATGAGTATGTTCATTTATAATATTAATAAAAGTATTTTTTATGTTTACTTTGTTAAATTTAAATACACATTATGGGACGAATGTTTGAAGTATTTTAACTTGAACACGTTCTTGCCGGCCTTTAAACTCATGGTCATCAGCCGCTAAACTGCGTTAAGACAAGATCAGACCGACTTGCGCCCTGCGGCTCCCAAACACGTTTGACAATTACAGTGAAACCAACGCTTAGCACCAACTCTTGGGACCATGAGAAGTGGTGCTATTTGCAGTGATTGTGCTTTTCCCAGGTTCAGCCAGTAGTGTGAAAGAAGAAGACACATTTACATTGAACATAAGAAGACGTAAGCAAATTGATCATAAGAAGACACATTTACATTGAACATAAGAAGACACATTTACATTGAACATAAGAAGACACATTTACATTGAACATAAGGAGACACATTTACATTGAACATAAGGAGACACATTTACATTGAACATAAGAAGACACATTTACATTGAACATAAGAAGACACATTTACATTGAACATAAGAAAACACATTTACATTGAACATAAAAAGACACATTTACATTGAACATAAGGAGACACATTTACATTGAACATAAGAAGACACATTTACATTGAACATAAGGAGACACATTTACATTGAACATAAGAAGACACATTTACATTGAACATAAGAAGACACATTTACATTGAACATGAGAAGACACATTTACATTGAACATAAGGAGACACATTTACATTGAACATAAGAAGACACATTTACATTGAACATAAGAAGACACATTTACATTTAACATAAGAAGACACATTTACATTGAAAATAAGAAGACACATTTACATTGAACATAAGAAGACACATTTACATTGAACATAAGAAGACACATTTACATTGAACATGAGAAGACACATTTACATTGAACATAAGTAGACACATTTACATTGAACATAAGGAGACACATTTACATTGAACATAAGGAGACACATTTACATTGAACACAAGTAGACATGAGAAAACAAATATAATGTTCATACATTTACCTATACTTAACCTGTATGATTAACCTCATATCAATCATCAATACCAAGCAGTATTCTATTGTATTTAAACATTCTTCGCGCTGTTGATTTACATTTTGCATGTACATCTAAATGTTTAGCTATGACGCAGCCATGATGCAGCCATGGAGTAGCCATAGTGTAGTCATGGTGTAACCATTGTGTAGCTATGATGTAGCCATAATGTACCCATGATGTAGTTATGCTGTAGCCATGATGTAACCATGATGTAACCATGATATAGCTAAGATGTATTCATGATATAGTTATGCTTTAGCCATGATGTAGTCACTATGTAGCCATGATGTAGCTATAATGTAGCCACTATTTAGCCATGATGTAGCCTACAGCTGCTCACGAATCTGTTATGAACATTCAAACAAAAATACCAGTACATGTATATTATATGGATGGTCGTAATTTCAGCCGTCTTGCTATCACTATACGTTGGTGAAACGTAAACACGATATCCACGGTTCATTCACAAGCCTCGGCCTCATAGCAAATTTTTTTTTAAAACATGCAGTTTCATTATGATTTTAGTTACACGCAGCGCTGTGGGGAGACTGCATTAGCAAAGCAACCCTTTTCAAAACGTAACTCCTTTCCAGAGTGGCATGACATAATGTGCTATTCGCAGGGTCAAACACAATGTTTTCTCACATGCAGAAACCCTTGCAAGATTCTCACGGGACAGACTTTGCACTATCTTTGAAGTGTTTTGGTTAAGAAATCGATCTGTGCCCGGGGTAAGTTAAAGGCTACTGGAAGAAAACAAAAATGGATTTTTTTTTTGGGGGGGGGGGGGGGTCGGATGTATATTTTAAGGTGACCAAAGTTGTGAAGTGGAACAAATTTAAACTATTTGAAGCCATGGCTTTTCTTATTTCGTCGTCGTAGGTCCCAAGTAATTTGTGAAAAATTCTGTGCCCGGGGTAAGTTAAAGGCTACTGGAAGAAAACAAAAATGGATTTTTTTTTTGGGGGGGGGGGGTGTCGGATGTATATTTTAAGGTGACCAAAGTTGTGAAGTGGAACAAATTTAAACTATTTGAAGCCATGGCTTTTCTTATTTCGTCGTCGTAGGTCCCAAGTAATTTGTGAAAAATCTGTTAAATTTGTGAAATATAAATTTTTAATTATTTTGAAAACGCCCGTCATTTTTACCGGAAATGAGAGTGGCCACTTAGAGCAGCGGTTTTCCACCTATGGGTCGCGAGCCCTTTGGGGGTCGGATGACCCTTACACAGGGGTCGCATAAGACCATCGAAAAACTCATATTTGTGAAGTAACAATGAAAATGATTTTATGGTTGGGGTGTGGTGAAATGACTTTTATATTAGGGATGTTGGAACAACTCTCTGATGAGTGTCACACCTGTTTGTGTTTAGGGGTATTAGGTTATGTCGATTTCACACACCAAGGGACATAATAACATACTCATTTTACCTTAACTACCAAATACTTTATAACACCATTTAGTAAATGAAATAACTTATTTATTTACAAGTATATGGCATAATAATGAAGTATATGCAAAACAACTTTGCAAAGGTATTTATCTAAGTTCTAGTTTATTATGAAAAATTGCCTCCTGTATAGCTTATGTATCATCATAAAGGTTGCTTTGCTTTGTATCTCAATCGTATATACTCAGACCTTTCACACTTAACGTATCAGTCACTCGTGCTGATCAATTGGCTTCATCATCTGACTTGATCAGTCACTAGTAGTATGTGGAGGTGGCTCCTCCGATTCTTCACTCCGTAGCTTTTCAGGGTGTTCATGTAAGTGGGCTAACAGAGCGGCAGTCCATGCAGCAGCTCTGATGATCTGGTTAGATCTTGCACAATAGTGAGATCTCTTTAACGTAGAAGTGGATTCTCCAGTCCTGTCCGTGGCTTCTTGGGGCGTTCACGCAAGGGAACTAAACAGCAATGCGATGCTATAGAATTACTTCAAAAGTGGAAGTGAATTATTTAATTCTTTACCTCGTGGCTTTTCAAGGCGTTCACGCAGGTAGATTTTACGGCAGTACACTACAGAGATCCATTCACTGGGGAAGTTGACTCTTCATCCTGTGTACCTCGTGGCTTTTCAGGACTGAACACTTTTCAGGGCGTTCACGCAGGTGGATGATACCAGTCACAACTGTACCTTCTGGGATACCTCTTCCCCAGTACGCTGTGGTGGGTGTATGTAAGACTTCTATTTGGGAGTAAAGTCCATCAGCACGCGGTCCTTTGGTTGCAGGCGATGAATTGGTCTTCCAGAGGTGGCTCCTGGGCGGGGTTCGAAGACTCATGCCTCAGTACACCGATTCCTCAATTCAGCTGCTAAGGTGCGGTTGACTGTACTGTAGTAATACGGCGATCTAACAACCAGGCTATATGTGAATGATGATCAAAGAAAAGAAGGGAGCAACTTTTCTAATATTCTCGAGCTTACAAATCCCCTATTCAGCGGCAACGAATTCAGATCAAGGTGTCAAAGGAGACATACGTTTTATAATATTAATATCCATTGTCGATGTTCTTATTTGTCTTCAACATGACCGGCGCAAGCATGGGTGGCTAGCGTCGACACGTGACAATGATTCTTTTCATACATAATTATACAATGACTTAATAATATACAGTATGGATTAATATGATAGATCCAAGTAACTGTACTGGATAACATAATGGCTAATAACTATCCAGTGGCCACATCACTATCCATAAGATGGGATGAAGTCTAGATAATCAAAACTCAAAATCGCCGACACGTATCCTATGATGAATTAACTAAATTCATTCTAATCAGAATGACCATACCTACATTAAAACATAAATGTTTAACCAACTATGTACATGGTAATACAAATATTCAAATAAAGAAATGAAATCGAAATGTTTGTACAACTCACTAGGTTTAGTAAAAAGCCAACTTTACGATGCTCTAAGTTGGCTGTTGACTTAAGAGTCGATCTCTAGCCCATCCTTTATCCCATATTTATTCCCTCTTCCCAACATCTCTTACCCCATACTCTAAAACGCTCATCCTCACCAACTTTAAGAAAAAATCTACTTTTTAAATTCTCGAACTCTAAAATATCCCTTATCCCAAATGTTAACAGTTAGGACCATCTGAAAAAATTGTTCTTACCTCACCCCAAGCAGACTGTCAGCCATCCATAGCAACTCTGTCACCCTTGTCTCACATCCTACAAGCTAAATCAGCCAAGGATGCTTCTGCAACCACACCTTCTGCCACCACACCTTTTGTCACCACACCTTCCGTCTCCACACCTTCTGCCACCACACCTTCTGTCACCACACCTTCTGCCATTACACCTTCTGCCACCACACCTTCTGTCACCACATCTTCTGTCTCCACAGCTTCTGTTACCACACCTTCTGTCAGCACACCTTCTGCTATCACACCTTCTGTCACAACACCTTCTGCCACCACACCTTCCATCTCCACACCTTCTGTCACCACATCTTCTGTCTCCACACCTTCTGCCACCACACCTTCTGTCTCCACACCTTCTGTCACCACATCTTCTGTCTCCACAGCTTCTGTTACCACACCTTCTGTCAGCACACCTTCTGCCATTACACCTTCTGCCATTACACCTCCTGTCACCACACCTTCATTCCATGTAAAGCTTCAACAGGCTCTTATATTGGATGTCACTAAAACATTTTCTGTCCCAACTGCCCTATCACCATCAACGGTATCCACATAGGTGATTTAAAATGTCCCACAATCAAATCCAAAAGCCTTTTTAAAATTCAAAACACTTTAATTATAACAAATAGAAACATGATAAAAACATGAAACTTATTACACATGCTTAACTCACTGATGTCCATCTAATTAGGAGTTATTGAAATTCTTGACCGTTTATATTTTGAGCAGGCCAATTTATATCAGGCATGTTGAAATCACTGTGACAAAATAAGGTGTATTTAGAAAACAACACAAAAAACCAACTCTGAGAGCCGATCTAATAAACTTAGAAATAACATTTTTCTTTAACATTTGCAGTTTAAGTATTAACATTCGATTATCCAAATCATATTCATAAAAAGAAAAAAATTAAAAGTTAAAACTGCCACAGGGACGAAGATGCTAGTCTTTGAAAGTATTATTACAGCTATGCCATTTTTAGCAATCTCTTTCTCATTGTTGACTTTAGAAAATTTAGGTGGAATGGAAGCCATCAAACCTGTAGCCTTGATTGCTACAATTGTCTTGTTATCTGCAGGCACAAAGTAGATGGGGGTGATATCAAACACGTTGTTAATACCGTGTCCCTTTGCATAAAATGTCTCGGTTGTCCCGGTAGAGATAGAATACAGTCTCCATTGACCCCAGCCATAAGTCAAGAAAAGTGCCTGATCAGTCTTCTTGTAGCTGACAGTCATAAAACCAAAGATTTCATTGTAGTATAAACCCTGAAAGCAAAATATTTGTAAATAAAATTACAAGTAGCAAATCAACATCATTTTTCAATGATCAAATTCAATCATTGTAATAACCACAAAAAACAAAAATCTTTTAAGCAAGTTTATCTCAAACTGAAATCTGTTTACAAGGGTATCTGGAAAATTTTTTGAAAGAAATTTCATTGACGGAAAATTGATCGACGGAAATTTGATCGAACGGAAATTTAGTCGAATCTTTTTTCCTTTCAACGTTAAAATTTTCTTCAAATTTATTTTTGAACCACGACACTAATAGTAAAACAAAATAATGCATGAATATGTTTGATAGTTACTTGAATGCTTAAACAACTTTGCATTAAATTTTTTTTTAGGTTATTTGATTTTAAATTCACAGAACTTGATTTTAAAGCCAAAATTTTGAGAGTTTTTGTGAAATATCTTTCCTTGCTCAAGTCATATTAAAGCATTTAGTTTACACTAAATTTAAACAAGGAATATATAAAATGTAGATACTGTTTTTGATTTCACAACACTTAGGTAAGATATTGTTTCTATTTTGGGAGATCATTGAAAACTGCTTGTAGCCTATTTAGATTTATGAATAAGTGTGGGTTTGTCAAAATTTTATAGTTACAAGGTAGCTAAATTTAAATTATGCCTTGCGACCAATTTCACCCGGTTCAAGATTGATTCACATGTTCAAATGTAAAATATTCATTCTATCGTGGTCCAGTTTTTCTTTTAACGAGGGATTTTAAACTGAATTTGATGCTACTTCTTTTATGACCATTGTTCCTGATTATAAGTAATTGTGAAATAAACAATTTATAAACCAAATTTGATTGCAGCTGCAGATGGCATAAGCTCAATGTTTTTTTATAATATATTCAGCCTAAAAGCATTCAGTCCCCCCCCCCCCACTCTCTACCATTAAAAAGTATGATCTTATCTTTTTTTATAATATATTCAGCCTAAAAACATTCAGTCCCCCCCCCCCCCACTCTCTACCATTAAAAAGTATGATCTTATCATCACAGTAAATACAATTATAAAACATCCGTAATAACACCTTGTTCTTGTTATTTTACAAACCAATCATAAAATGATAACCATTTTAAATCTTCATACCTCATACTGATTAGTTTCATACTGTAATGTAACATTCGGATTTAGTTTTGGAGTGGATACTGCAGAACGCTTCTCCCAAGGTTCAGGGTATGTACAGAGGGTTGAACTGTTGAGCCATGATTGCACACCCAGGGCTCTATCCATCAGGTACATGTGGAGTGGATGACGGTAAACGTATGCGTCATCCTTTCCAGTCATCACAATGAAAACACCAATTTTAGGCTCTGGCAGGAGCGCCATGTAGGCTCTGTAACCCATTGTAGAACCGGTGTGAACTAGTCGCTCGTAACCTGTGGGAGACATTAGTGAATCAACAGGGAGATATTAGGGAATTATGTGGGAGACATTAGTTAATCATGTGTTCAAGACATTTTAGAGGAAGAAATTTAATACATTTAATTTAGAAAATACAGCATTTTTAAAATAAGACGCCAGTGTTTGCTAAACTTCAGTATTACCTGCTGGTGTGAGAATGCATTGTCTAAAGTTAAACTCATATTTAATACACTAATCAATAAACTAATATCACACAAAGGAAACTTCCTTCACTTGAAGAACTGTTTAAAAAAAATGCTTTAGTAAAACTACAAACAAAATTTTGGATGATACATCCCAACCTCTTCATCATAGATACCTAAGATACGCTTGATCGGGAAAATTCTTTCCCTCAAAGTTAGGACCAAAAGATCTAAAAATTATTTTGTCCCCAGTCTGTAAGAATTTACCATCATACATCATATAATGAAATCCTTTAGTGACAATAAAGACTTAATTAGTGATCATTTAGATTTGGTAATCACTGGGGCAGCCCAATATGTGCAATGTAATTTAAAAAATCCATTTATTAGCTCAATAAAACTATCTTATAAGTCAAAGAGGAAATGAAGCTCTGGTTAAAGCCTATAAGCTTGCATTATTTATACTATTAAAGCTTACTATTCTAAAGAAATTTTAGAACAACAGGAACTTTAGAGCCATTGTGTTCCTTTGCAGTGTAGATATTAGTTAATTTCCTTCAGCCAACAGAAAGCAAATTATTCTTTTTTTTTTATATATTGAATTAAATTAATAATTTTTCTTGATACTTTTACTGTTTTTTTTCTTTTTTAGACCATTCTACCATATCTGATAATTGCTTTACAACATTGCCCTGAACTGGACCCACTCAAAATGTAAGAGAAAAGTTTATGTTTTTAAAAAAAAATAATAATTTTGATAGGACCATTTATTATTTCGGGAAGTTTCACATTTGATTTAGAGGGGTGTACGGCTTGCATTGACAATTTTAGCTTCCCTTCAGTGGCTGAGATAGGGTTAGTGCTGCCCGGACTGCTCAATATTTTTTGCAACTCTTCCACAAAATAACATCACAACAAACCAACAACTCCGTAGTTGGCAGAAAATATACATATAAAGAAAAATATGTGGCTGGCTTTGGGGACAGCACCCACCCTGAAACTCCTTACCTATGTCCTTGCTTCCCTTAAATTTTGTGTCCCAGAGGACATTTTTTGTCACTACCCGTAGACATGATGGAGTCTTTCTTTAGAGCCTTAGTTATTTTTGCTTGGCTTAGTAGCTTTCATAAAACACGTTCACTCTCCTATTGGCACAATAATCCCAGCTGTTGACTAGAGTGGTTCAGATCTGTTTACTTTGAAAGTTTTTATGATAAATCCGGATTGTTATTTTAGTATTTATGTCTATCCAAAACTCTTTAAAATAAAAATCTAAAGTTTGATAGTAGAGAGATAAAAAGAAATATGTCAGAAACTCATTGAAATCTTAAATCTGTGGTTCCCAGTCTGTGTTCACCCGTAAGGGCTCCACTTGCACTTCTCAGGGGCTCCCGGCAACTTCAGAAAAATCCTAGATGCTATAACTTTCAAGACATAAGGGCTCCCCATGGAAATTCATTCTTTAAAAGGGCTCCTTGCGTAAAAAAGCTGTCTAATAAAAACTGAGATATAAGGTACTGTTCTCACATTTTTTTCTATTTTCTCTTTAAGTATCTACCAAATTTTTAATACTTCCATATGAACAAAAGTAAGAGTCTTCATCATTTCCAATTTCTGCATACTAAAGTGAAATATTTCATATCCATAAGAGAGTTGTTTCGGCTACAGGAGCAAAAAAGTTAAAAACTAAATCATCTAAAATACCTCGATAGAATCCTCTTCTAATTCCGAAGGCATAAATCTCATCAGTGCATGTGACAGGAAATTTCGATAACTTTGTTTCTTTTTCTTTCTCTTGTCCAACAAAGAATCTTCCTTTGTAAACCTCGGCAATGTGTTCTGCCTTGACCACCTGGTTCCCTTGTGCGTCTTTGCCATCAAACAAGTGAAAGTTCATCCATCTGGCCATATCATCGGCGCTCGTCATAATTGAACCAGAACCAGATAACTGAGCCCACCTCCTGGGTTTTAAGTGAAATTAAAAGAAAGTAATCAAAATTAAACAGTGAATTCTGGGAAAATTGAACACTATTCAGTAGCTTTGAGTTTAAAGACATTGTAACATGTAAATAAAACATGAATGATTCTTGTTGTCTGAAATGGGACAAGAACTGCTGCACGCAAGCAGTGATAAAACATACTGTCCAGGTAGTTTAAGGAAAGTCCCTATGCTCTTTGGGGTGGTGGGAAATTTATGCAAAATTTAAGTTTGCTTTCATATGATTCAGTAAGTTTACTTGAAATAGATAAAAATATTTTTGACAGTGAGTCTCACAAAATAGTTTGGATTTGTTTTCTCTTGTTTTGGTAAATTCTGATATGAATCTTTAATAATAATTCAATATTTGCCAAAGTATACTTAAATAGGCTATGAATAAAATTGAAGTTTCATGTTAATTCATATCAATCAGGCACATTATATTTGAGGATAATCACATATCTAACAATTAACATAAAATGAAAAAAGACCTAGAGAATTCAGGATCAACTGGAATTAACTGGTCCTCCACTTGCGCGTAAGGAGTCACCATGTCTTCTGCATCAAAGTTCGCCACTGAAGCAAAAGTCGAGCTGTTCATCCCCAATGGCTTGTAAAGATGCTCATCTACCAGTTCCTCCCAAGTCTTGCCACCAATAATCTCTGTGATTCGGCTCACTAACCCGTACATGATGTTGCTGTAGTAATATTTCACACGGAACTGCTCATTGGTTTTTAGAAAGTGCAGGCGTCTAGAAATTTCATTTGGAAAAAATATAAATTATGAGATTTATTCTGAGGTTTTTCCAAACTTTGCATTGTTTTATTGTCCTCTACGATGTAATTCATTGTGTAGTACCTCTGACTCCCCTCAGCAATAATTTCACAATCTCCCTATTATAATAAATCGAGTTTAGCCTATTCTCCCTATCCAATCATCATTTCTTAGTCTCCCTGCATCCATCCATCAAACAATTTCCTCTCTCCCCCCTTTTCACCTACAAATCATTTCTTGTCTCCCTAATCAATCCACCAATCATTTCTTTGTCTCACTAATCATTTCTTTGTCTCCGTAAATCAACCCACCAGTCAGTTATCACTCTCTATATGTTTGGCTACCAGTGGATGCCCAGTCTCTCAACATCCACACTCCATTCTTTGCCTACTTTATATCTGTACACATATTAGAAGTTTTAGCAATATGAAGGAGAAGCCATTGTAAAGTTACATTTTAAAAAAATTGATGACAGCTTTCACAGCATTGGTGAACACCCAAATTTTTCTATAATTTTGTTTCAAACATTTTTTTTTTAATTTAAAACCCTGTGATGAATATTATAAGCTTACCTTAACAGAGCTTCTCTTGTGAGGTTTGCATCAAATCTTAGACGATTGTAGTCTGGTATGCCCACTTTATGAGCCAATAAGTCTGTGAAGGTTGTCTGGGCCGTGCGGATAGGGTCAGGCATGCTGAACGACTTCCCCAGAAGCTGTTTGACTGGCGAATCCACTGTGAGGCTGGGCCAGAAGTACAACATGTTTATGTTTATAAATAGAGCAAACAGTAAGAGTCAAATGTCTTGTGTGGGAAGAACAATTACAATTACGATCAAACTGTTAGGAAATCATTGTAAATCATTTTAAGGGCCGTCCATAAGGTACGTCACGCCCGGAAGAAGGGGGGAGGAAGAGGCTAGATCTTATGTGACGTCAAATATTTACATCCTTTAATCAAACATACGAAAGCTTAAATTGAAAATGATGATTAACTTTCTGTTGTGCTAGATGCATTCTGACAGAAAATGTCACTTATTACTGTCTAATTGTAATCTTGAAAATTGTTTGAGATCGAATGTTAATTAGTTGTAGATTTTTAAAAAAATTTTTTAAAGTGTTCAAGTGTGACGTAATTTAGTAAAAAAAAAAAGGGGGGGGGGGATTCGACAAAATTAACATCACTATGTGAGCATTTAGCGCATGTTTGAATTTCATTTAGTTTACCACACGTAGAAGATTCCCATACTTCATACAAACATTCTTGAAGCATATAAGGTAAATTCGGACACGAGAGCATATCAACTTAGTAAACCTGTGGGGTGTGTAGTATTCTGTCTGGAAAACATCTACTATTTAGATTGTAGGATTGTTAACATATGAAATATTAAAACAAAACAAACAAAAAAAAGAATGAAGAAAATGACCTCACTTTGTTTTCTCGTAAAGCAGTTTGACCAGCAGAGTGGCGGAGAACAGTTTAGACACTGATGCTATCCCAAACACAGAGGAACTCGTCACTTGCTTTTTGTCGTCCAAACCAAATGTTCCAAAACCTTTGGACAGAAGGACCTGGGATGAAATAATTTGGGGTTGACTGATATCACTTTAAATGCCTTTAACGGATATAGGCCTACTCAATGGTGGGACTCAAGTCATTTAACAAACCGGTTTGCTATCCTTATTACCGCTTTAAAAACTCTTTTTTTTTTTTTGAAATGATATACCAAAACGTATTTTATTATTTCATGTTTGACTAACAACGATACACCAATAGATAAAACTTAAGTAAGTTACTTTTAATAAAAGGTTTGAAATATTGATGACAAATGATTAAATAAGAGCAAAACTGTAAAAGACAAATAAACTGTTATATAGGATATTTAACTTAATTTTTTAACAATAAAGAAAAAAAATATGTAAAAAAAAAAAAAATTTGTTTATAAAAATATTGTTTTAAATTTGGTAAAGGTTCTTCCAGATGGGTTCTTACCGGTTGAATTCCACCAATTGATACATTTCTGAGACAAATGAATGAGCAGGATATAACAAAGGATATCATGGAGTATTTAGGCGTAGTAAAAGTTGTAGCATAAAATGAAGTGTTTAGGCCTAACTCCAAATTTTAGGGTAATGAGACTCGTTAACCTTGGTCGGCAACTCATCTAAGAGAAGGAAACTCTGAATTCCAACAGGGAGTTGGAGTCCCGTAAGGCGCATTCAATGACAATTCCAGCAACCGAACCCATCCCTGGTCGTCTTGACGTAGAGTCTTGCCACTGGATATGGTGGACTCGGACGAGAGAGTGAGGTTGACGCCGCGCAACTCTTCCTCACTTTAAACAAAAGTCACTAGCTCAAGTCATCAGTCACCGGACGACTCGATGGTCATCATCGATCCTCGACGGACGAACAACAAACAAAGGGTAAATCATGAAGTGAACTATTTTTTATAAGAAAACCAATGGACTGTTTTAAAACAAAACTGCACTGTCAGACAATTTTATACAGCAGACCCGGTAATGGTGCCCCCAACAAATGCTTGTAGGCTCCAGCACATTTAGTCCGTGATTCGTCTCTGTTTCAGTGCCGAGTGCGTAATACAGTTTTGTTTCAACAGCAAACCACAGACCCGGCCCGCGTATTTAAACCCCCCCCCCCCCGCGCCCCGGGCATGCTCACCACGCATACCGAGACAGACCGTCTCTACCCACTGCACACATTGGGTCGTACTATGAACAACGGAGGCACAAGTTATTCCAAATGTTTTTTAGTGTTTTAGAAAGATGGAAAGAAAAAAAAAGTAAAGAGACGAAACGGAGTGAGAGAGAGGGGGGAGTAGAGGAAGGGAGAGAGAGGGAAGGAAGAGAGATGGGGAGAGATGGGGAGGAAGGAAGAGAGGGGCATGAGGAAGGGAGAGAGAGGTGAGGAGGAAGAGAGAAGATGCCTCTAAATTTATTCATCGAAATGAACGTCAAAAAGCCTCCGATCCTTTGACCAAGATGAAAAGTGGATCTTGCGCATATCGTTAGCTTCTTCAGTGCAGTGGTCTATATTATCTTAATGTAGAGAATTATGTTCGACACTCGGCTGCACCACCGTTTTAAAAAGCACTTGAAACATTTCACTACATAAACTCTACACGAAAACCTCCATTTTAAAACCAAACATTGTACAAAGTTTTAGCTCTGTATCGAGTTGGAAACCATAGAAATAAGCATTTGTTAGTATTGACCAAAACCAATCTTTAAAAAAAAACAACATACATTCGCACCCGATGATTAAGTTTATAAACAGTGGGTAACGAATAGGCTTCCCCCCCCCCACCCCCCCAACCCCACACACCTACCAAACGAGGCTTTGTTTTTCTTCTTTTGCGTTTATTTAACAATTATTAGCTTTTCAACTTATGGTTTCCCGTGTGGGGGGGGGGGTGTGGACCGTCGGTTGGGGGGTGTGGACCGGCGGTTGGGGGGTGGACCGGCGGTTGGGGAGTGTGGACCGGCGGTTGGGGGTGTGGACCGGTGGTTGGGGGGGGGGTGCGGCCCTCACATGGCGTGTTTGATGTTGTTGCTCAAGTTAAAAAAAATATATCAGAAGAAACTTGTTTCTACGACGAATTTATGAAAATAGAACTTAGGCAGCCATAGAATTTTTTATTTTTTATTTATTTTTTTTAATTTAAACGTTTTTAGCGTACACTCAATGGACTTTTGACGCAAGAACAACTGCATAAACGTAACTTTGTTGATGGAACACAAAATTATGGTTTTAAAAGTATAAACATTTTAAAGAAAAACTAACTGCTTTTACTGTAAGCGTTAATTTTTATTACTGTGAGAAATAGCCCCAGACTTCTGAGCGAAAAAATGCAGGAGCAAGCTTCTTGATAAATTAACCAATCTTCTACTTATCAATACTACGCACACAATAGTAAATGACTTACCTTCCCATCTTTGACGACCGACACAGCCACTGAAGGGTTGTCATGACAACTCAATGTCGCCTCGATAACTTGACTGATTCCGTCGGCGTCGAACGCCACAATGTCATCACTTGGTTTTGTACTCGCTTCTACGGCGCCAACGACGTGCGGGACAACAACAACGACGACGACGACGACGGGTATGAATAGTTCCAGGAGTAACACAGCCCAACAACATAGCCGCCTAAACATGGTGAACAGGACGCGTTCACAATCAACAGTGTACGGACCGGCCCCGCCGAAATAAAGTTTGGAGAAGTCTCTCAGCACGCGCAGCGGTGCAACTGAGTCAGGTCAAGGTATCATTCATGCCAACCACCCACCCCCTCCCTCTTTTTTATTGAAATGCTTTCCCACCACAATCTTTACCCCGCTCCCGCTCACCCCACCCCCCCACCCTTCTCCCCACACCCCACAACACTGTTGCCGCCTGTTTCCTGTTAGTCTCTGTCTAGTTCAAGGACGTACCCATGGAAACATTGATAAGCACGTCACACGGACAGTTATCGCAGATTTCATCCAGGAGATGGCTACAAATGTTGGCGAAAATGTCTTGATAAGGGGTTCTTCTTTAGTATCGCATAAAAATGTGGACGAATCATTTTTAAGAACTTTTCTAAAAACACTGCTATAATTTATGAAACTATTACAGATACGGTAGATTAAATAACGCAAACGTTTATAAAGACTTTTTCAAATGCGGGGTTTAATTTTTTTATGCATAACTTTTTTTTTTTGGTGGTGGGCAAGTCGGGGAGGGGTGGAATTTATGGTTTTAACACCGTGTGTTTAAATCTTAATTTGATTCTAAAATTTTTAATGTTTACTTTTTTTTTCACTTTCAAATTATGTAAATTGATTAACTCGTTTGTCGAATCTGCTAATTATTTTTTCGTAATCCCCTTTAGTATGGCTACGTCCATCACCAAGACAAACTCAAAATCTATGACAGTTGAAGCATCTACATATTCCTCTTTTAGACCGCCCATAATTCAACTGAGCCCAGTGCCAGATTAAACTTGAGTGTAGGCCTACTTGTCATAGCGTTATGGATAATACTGAGAACTCGGTCATTTCCATACACTACAATTTATAGGCTAAATGGGAAGATTGAGGCACGTGCCTTGTGGAGAGAGACGGGGAGAGAGAGAGAGAGAGAGAGAGAGAGAGAGAGAGAGGGTTACAGGAGGGCTGCACCTCTGACCTAATCTCTACTAGATACGCGTCCCACGGTCCTTGAATTGCTACCTCATTAAAGGCAACTTTCTGCTGCCCACACTATCCCCCTAGTGTCCACCTGCCTCCCAAGCTATCTTGTCTTCCCCGTACTACCATAAACTCTGCCGACGCCAGGTTAGCTACTCCTTCATTTAGTGTAACATGCGCCCATCGTTTCCTTTCTCTGCCAGCCCTGGTCATTTGTGACATATTCTAAGAAATACTATTTATTTTTATATAAACCATTTTATAAACATATAGACTAAGTGTTATATAAATATAAAAAAAAATATATTTCCCTGGGGGTGGGGGTGGGGGGATGCGACCCTTCTATCTTAATCTAACATTCCAAACGACCGAGATCACTCCTTTCAGATTAGTTCCTATTCATCTAAGTTTCCGTGCACCCAAGTTGATGAAATATTATTAAAGATGTAAAGAGTATATTTAAAGTTGAATAATTGTTTTGTTAGTTTATACAGACGATAATCCCACCGATCCATAAATTTGTGGACAATCTTACTCATATCCTATGTTGTACCACAAACATCCCATTCGAATATCTCCCTTTCTCATCCTATGTTACACCCAAAGTAAATATATAACAAATAGTAAGTATAAAACCAAATTGTTAAAAAAGTAAATATATAACCAAAGTAAATATTTAACAAATAGTGAATATAAAACAATTAGGTATCTCGAGCTTGGCAATTCACAGTTTGAATTTCTTCCCCTCAGGCGTCATATGTAATCCGTATGCTGCACAGCTTATCACATATTCCTTGAATCTCTATGGGGGAGATAACATGGCAATCGTGGCACAGGTGCCTTTTCTACCAGATAAATAACGTTTCGTATTACCTGTTGTGTGTGTTTGAGTTTGTGTGTTAGAGTGTGTCTGTAAGTGTGTGTGTGTGTGTGTGTGTGTGTGTGTGTGTGTGTGTGTGTGTGTGTGTGTGTGTGTTGTTATTCACATAAATATGTCATACTATGAGCAGATTTGGTTGTGTGTGTGTGTGTTTGTGTGTGTGAGTGTGTGTGTGAGTGTGTGTGTGTGTGTGTGTGTGTGTGTGTGTGTGTGTGTGTGTGTGTGTGTGTGTGTGTTGTTATTCACATAAATAAGTCATACTATCAGCAGATTTGGAATGGATCCTGGAAGTCATCGAGATCCAGCATCATTAGTAATTGATACATTAGTCATACTAGTAATTGTTTCATTAGTTATACTAGTAATTCATACATTAGTCATACTAGTAAATGATGCATTAGCTATACTAGTAATTGATACATTAGCTATACTAGTAATTGATACATTAGCTATACTAGTAATTGATTCATTAGTTATACTAGTAAATGATACATTAGCTATACTAGTAATTGATACATTAGTTATACTAGTAATTGATACATTAGTCATACTAGTAATTGATTCATTAGTTATACTAGTAATTGATTCATTAGTTATACTAGTAATTGATGCATAAGTAATATGAGTAATTGATTCATTAGTTATACTAGTAAATGATACATTAGCTATACTAGTAATTGATTCATTAGTCATACTAGTAATTGATTCATTAGTTATACTACCAATTGATACATTAGTTATACTAGTAATTGATTCATTAGTTATACTAGTAATTGATACATTAGTCATACTAGTAATTGATTCATTAGTTATACTAGTAATTGATTCATTAGTTATACTAGTAATTGATACATTAATCATACTAGTAAATGATACATTAGCTATACTAGTAATTGATACATTAGTTATACTAGTAATTGTTCATTAGTTATACTAGTAAATGATACATTAGCTATACTAGTAATTGATTCATTATTTATACTAGTAAATGATACATTATATATACTAGTAATTGATTAATTAGTTATATTAGTAAATGATAAATTAGCTATACTAGTAATTCATACATTAGTTATACTATTAATTGATTCATTAGTTATACTAGTAAATGATACATTAGCTATACTAGTAATTGATACATTAGTTATACTAGTAATTGATTCATTAGTTATACTAGTAAATGATACATTAGCTATACTAGTCATTGATTCATTAGTTATACTAGTAATTGATACTTTAGTCATAGTAGTAATTGATGCATTAGTTATGCTAGTAATTGATACATTAGTTATACTAGTAATTGCTCCATGGCTTTAATTCGTGGTGTAAACTCAAGTCAATTTGCTTTTAAAATTTTGAAGAAAAAAATGTTGATACTGCTGTCATATTGTTTCTTTCAGGGTTATACTTTAACTTAATTTTATACTTTTTATATTTTAAGAACTCTTGCCCCGTGGCATTTGATTTTTTTTAAAAAAAAAACTTTTTTGTGAATAGGTTAAAACATTGAGAGCTTTAATGTTCTGATTATTACATCGTCACTGGTTGCTATTATTATGTGTATTATTTTCGACCAGTCGTATGTGTACTTGTTTATATTCAATCATCAGTTTGATTCCGACCAAACTATTTCTCAAGTATTCAATGAGCCACGCACGTATACACTCGTTAAACTGGATTTTTGTGGATCTATTGATACCATGTTCAATGAACCATTTACAGAACTATCATTCTCTCCGACGCGCTCGGTTGCACAAAATAACCTCAGACAAAAATGCCCCACCAAGTTCCCACACACCACCTTGAAATGTGTCAATGGACCCAAGCGGAGCTCTTGGCACTACTGTAACGTATGTGCTTCGTTATGTGATTCATGACATTTCTTTCACGTTAATGGTACCGTGGCTTGTTTTAGGATTTTTAACGCAACAAGCATTCATATTTAAATATTTAGATTGAATGGCTTTGACTCATGAACTTCTACGGGGTTTTTTTTGTTTTTTTTGTGTGATCATTCGGTGATGATAATTTCAAACTGAAGTAAACCTTTTATTTTAATGTGTCTTCGTGTTTCAGGACATTTGGTCAGGATGTGAATAGAGCATGCCAATGAAATTATAGATTTCATGTGTCACCTCGTGTCACCCCGTGTCACCCCGTGTCACCTCGTGTCGCCTCGTGTCCTGACACTCAATGCTGGGGTAAAGGGCGTCCACAAAAGTACTTTTTGTGTATGTATTTTCATTATCGCTAACCATAGAGCCAGAGAGTAAGCGTGTAAACAGACAATGATTTGTGGTTGAGAATAAAATCTGTTCAACATATCTGTACTCTAAACTCCTTCTGCTGTTGCATACCCTTCGTAGAATCTTTAGTTATAGATTCTTGATGGACAGACTGACCGTTAGCCACTGCTCGAGTTGTAAGAGCAAGCTTTTATAAGGTAATTGATGGAAAGACTGACAGTTACCCACTGCCCGACCCGTAAGAACAAGTTGTTATGAGGTTATTGATGGACAGACTGACAGCTACCCACGGCTCGACTTGTAAGAACAAGTTGTTTCAAGATTTTTTTTAGAAAGTAAGTGAAATGTTTTCTATTTATCTTAATAAAGTATTTATTATCACGTGATGTGAATAACTAAGTTTGAGGAATTCTATTTTAAAACGAAGATGCACGAGAAAGCAATAAGGTGACACCCCCCCCCCCCAACCCAGCAAATCTTATATGACATATTTGATTAAGTTTGAGGAATTCTATTTTAAAACGAAGAAGCACGAGAAAGCAATAAGGTGACACCCCCCCCCCCCCAACCCAGCAAATCTTATATGACATATTTGAAAATTCCCTCTACCCAACAAATCTGATGGGACATATTTATAATTTCCCGCTACCCAACAAATCTGATGTGACATATTTATAATTTCCCTCTACCTAAACAAATCTGATGGGACATATTTATAATTTCCCTCTACCCAACAAATCTGATGGACATATTTATAATTTCCCTCTACCCAACAAATCTGATGGGACATATTTATAATTTAC